TCACCACCGCTGCTATCCGAGGCTGGTCGACAAACTCGATTCGCTGGGTTCATTGCACAATGTGAAAATACTTGAAACCTCGCCTGCCATACACATATATTTGTTTTACTTTCAGGGCCACAGTGTTGTTGACGAATGTGGTGAGTTTTTTTGTATATAGGGCTCCCCGGTGGCTGTGAGATGTTAACTCCCTCTCCTGGTATACAGGAGGTCGTGGGTTCGATCCCGACCCTGACGCCTGCTGCTGTATATTTGGAGTTTGCATTTTCTCCCTGTGGTCGCGTGGTCTTTTCTCCAGGTACGCCGTTTTTTCCCTCCACATTTAGAATTAGCACGCGTTTAGAGTATTTGGCTGCTATACATTGTCAAATGATAAGCCACTAAATTGGGCTATCATTTACGGGCAGATCGCGTCTGAAAGAGAGCCAAAGAGCTCAGTGGGTCTTCACCTGGTAAAATAAATAGTTTAGTTAAATGCGTGGTGGTCAAGCTGCCCGGAGAGGTGGCTGCCTCAGGGGCTATTTTGACCCAGGCCTCGCACAAAAGAGGGCATCACAACTGGCCCGGTTATTGTCGCTCACGAGCAAGGGAACCCCACGTGGCGTGCTACCCTGGGCCTCCAAGAACCTCTGGGCTGCCCTGGCTGAGTGGTCGCCCATCCAAGCATTCCACCCTGCTTAACAACAACAATAATGATAATTTACACAATTGGAACCTCATTTGCCAGTAAAAAATATGATAATTTGTTTTTACAAGGAGTCATGTTTGCATAGACCACAATACCTGCAGTCATAATGCAAACAAAAAACATAACTCTGATAATGTATGCACTGTCCTTGAAGTTTTTTTACTGGAAAATGAGGTTCCAATGGTGTAAATGCTTACCCCGAGCTCTCATACTCTGATGGTGCATTGTCTTTGAGTTGTGCGCCTTTTGGCGTCATCTGGTCCAACCCATGTGAGACTAGGCTCTAAGGAAAGCTGTTTCGGGTGTGGACCAATCAACTTCAAGGACAGTGCATACATTATCAGAGTTAGGTTTTTTGTTTGCATTATGACTGCAGGTATTGTGGTCTATGCAAACATGACTCCTTGTAAAAAAAAGGTGTCAGTTTTGTTGCCAGATAGAAGGGTAAAAAAAACAATTATCAATAATGATAATCTTTAGTTTTAGACAGAGGAGTCGTACGGCGCAAATTTCATTTCACAATCGCCGCCTATGACACATTTGTCCTTTTAAGTGCACAGCGTTCTTGACAACTGCCGAGGAACCGCAGGAGACGAACGAGTTGGGAAGTGAGGCATGAAGTGAGCTCGCGCCGACGATTACCCAAGCTTCCGAAATCTGGCCGCATTTGGGGCAATTGTGGTGAGCGGCATGTGGAACATTCCAGAAGGTTGCTGGAATGTACGTTGCCATGACCGTGCCCACTCGAGCGCCGGAGCTCTCGGTCCACTAGACAAACGACGTGAGTCAGGCGGAGAAAATGCACTTTGTTCTTGCGATGGTTCTGGAAGGAATTAGACTGCGGGAACAACAAGCTAATTGTGAAACACAGAGCACCGATTTTATTTCAACCTGGCGAGGGAATGCCAGAAGCAGAAATTGGGCCGAGATTGAACAATTGACACGCAGAACAAAACCCTTTGGCAGTAACAACCTCAGCCCTGAACCACAATTCCCTGAGCGATCCACACTGTGCACGTGGAATGAAACGTCAGCATCTGATTTAGAGCAATAGTTAATGAATGTAGGGTCCTTTATCAATCCACTGACGGATGAAGGCCTCCCCCACGCTTTTGGAGGAGGTTGGGAGCACAGATGTGCATACCTCTCAACCCCTTATCAGTGCCCTAACTTATTACAGACCAATTCAGACATTATTGGTCACCCCGTGCCCCGTATAAAACTCAACGTTCATCCCACAAAGTCACCATCGCAAGGGAGGAACACAAACAAATCTCAACAAAATCTGCCCGTATTGAGACGGCTGTATGCCGTATGGACCCGGAAAACTAAATTTACCTGTACAAGAATACGGGTTAAACCGTTATGGGTTGACAGCCGTGAAAAAACCCCTCGCACGGTGGACACGGTACCGTAAACGCGCCCCCACATAATTTTGACAACGACATTCCAATTCATAATCATCGCAGTCATCACCAGCCATGGTCAATCCCCACGTGAGCCTGCGGTGTATAATAATGCTCACCGGCCCGTTACGAGTATCTTGCGGTGCGTGCATCTCCCGGTGCGTGTATCTCGCGGTTTGTATATCTAGCGGTGCACGCATCTAGCGGTGCACAGATCTAACGGTTCGTGTATCTAGTAGTGCACGCATCTCCCGGTGCGTGTATCTAGTGGTGTGTGTATCTCGCGGTGCAGTGCGTGTATCTCGCAGTTTGTATATCTAGCGGTGCACGCATCTAGCGGTGCAGAGATCTAACTGTTCGTGTATCTAGTAGTTCGTGTATCTCGGGGTTCGTGTATCTATCGGTTCGTGTATCTAGCAGCGCACGCATCTCCCGCTGCGTGTATGTAGCGGTGTGTGTATCTCACGGTGCATCTCCCGCTGCGTGTATGTAGCGGTGCAGTACATCTCGCGATTGCGAGCATCTGCCCACGTGTTGTTTTTGAGGACGCACCGCGCTTCAGGTCCCTCAACGACGAGAGAGAGGCAGCCTGCGGAAGGAAATTGACTTGAAACGTTTGGGCTCAACGCAAGGTTGGTGGTGGTGGAGGACAGAGACAGGCACAGTGCCGGACTAAGCTAGTGCGGGGCCTGTAGCATATGTTAGAAGGGTACCCTAAATAAAAAAAAAACCATCAATATTAAAAACAATTTTTTTCTTATAATAGGGTTTCCCCTTTTTTTCTGGCAACAAAACTGAAACATTTTTTCAAGGAATCTTGTTAACACTAACCACAATACCGGCGGTCAGAATGCAAACGAAAAAACACACTCTGATAATGTATGCATTGTCCTTGAAATTGATCGGTCCACACCAAAAGGCGTCATCTGGTCGAACACCGCATGAGACTAGGCTCTAAGGAAAGCTGTCTCTGGTGTGGACCAATCAATTTCAAGGACAATGCATACATTATCAGAGTGTGTTTTTTGTTTGCATTCTGACCGCAGGTATTGTGGTTAATGTAAACATGATTCCTCGTAAAAAGGTTTCAGTTTTGTTGCCAGAAAAAATGGGAAAAAACCTATTATTATATTTTGGTACTGGCAAAAGAGGCCTCATAATGTAAACACATGTTTTACTTGCACAGTAAAGTAATTGTATGTTCTTCATTTGCTATACAGCCAGATAATACGACAAATTGCTAACCTTAAACACCCATATCTGCATTTGTCAGCAATATGCTAAATTCCTCTGTTGATATGTAAACTCCTTTGTCAAGGCTCTCTCCTCCTCCCACCCAGCTTAAAAATACGCTGCCAAGCTTAGCAGTGTTCATTAGGACGCTGTCTTTCCGACAGCCCTGTTCTTCACCTAAGGACGGCTGCTTGCGTTGTGGCCGAAACGTCGTGAGAATTTTATCTGATTATGTTTTATATGTATTATTTTATTATTTCCCTTCTACGTGACTTTACCGAAAGAACCAACAATATCTTAAACACCCAGTGGTTCGTAAAAGTTGAAGGCGGTATAGTACTATAGTGATAGAGCAAGTGCAGAATCACTGAACCGGAACTGATAGCTTGAAAGCATTTAGCGCGGAGCCCTTGAAATTGCGGGACCCGTAGCTATATTTGTGGCTACTTTTGCTCCTACGATAATTCCGGCACTGGACAGGCGGTGAGGAACAGCGACAGAAGGGCGGCTATGAAGCGGCTATGCAGTGGCGTTGCTGCACCGGACAGGGGAAACGGTCTCAGACGTGGACAAGATGGGGCGCGTCTGCAGTAGGTTCAGACGAGGACTGAACGATGAGTCGATTTCAAATCGAAATCGCAATTTGAAACAATGCGATTAGCAAATCTCAAAGGCTGCGATTTTTTGCGATTTGAAAAGTCCTCTTACTTTCTTATTGGAATTGTTTTATTTTTGATTATTATAACTTTATTTATTTACTTAACAGTTGTTCTGTTTGATTTTAATAAATACATGTTGGAAGCAATTCATATCTTTTAAGTTCTCATCCTTGCATTGGAATATATAGAGCAGTTCATATTTTGATGGTATCATGTGGTAATGCTCCATCACATGTTTGAAATCTATTGCACAGTGAATATTTCACTGAAGCTTGACTTTTAAAAATGTTATCGCAAATCGCAATCGCAATGTCTGTCAAAAAAAAATTGCAATTAGATATTTTCCCCAAATCGTTCAGCCCTAGTTCAGACGGGACACACTTTCCTTGGACTCGTCGACAGCAGAAGGAAACGGAGCGTGGCCGGGTGGGTAGCGTCGGTTAGACGGCAGATCTGGAGGTGGGGGACCGTCTATAAATGACGTCACGCACCGAGACGGGGAGGGCGGGTCAGATATTTGTGACGATGTGTGACGAGGGGGAGGGGGGTTGAGAAATGTGACGTCACATCAAAATGCGCAAGTTTAAATAAATATAGAATTGTTATAACAACACTAATTGTTATAACAACACTCCTACAGCATCAGAGTGCAGCGCCACATTAAATACGCACTACAATGACAATAGTTTAAAGCCATTTGAAGCATGTTTTATTTTCAAAATAGAAATATGGTTTTTGGGGGGCTTTGTGACGTCATATTTGAGGGGGGGGGGGTCTGACTTTTTGTGACGCCGTGTGACGAGGGGGGGGGGGGTCAAAAATCGTCCAAAATCGCGTGACGTCATTTATGGACGACCCCCTAGTAATGTCAAAAGGCGACGTCACAAGCCGACGTCACAAGCCGACGTCACAAGGCGACGTCACAACGCGACGTCACAAGGCGACGTCACAAGCCGACGTCACAAGGCGACGTCACAACGCGACGTCACAAGGCGACGTCACAAGCCGACGTCACAAGGCGACGTCACAACGCGACGTCACAACGCGACGTCACAAGCCGACGTCACAAGCCGACGTCACAAGGCGACGTCACAACGCGACGTCACAAGGCGACGTCACAAGCCGCCGCTGTCTGGGCAAGTGTAAGCGGGCAGTAACGTTGCTCTTCAATAACGGGCAAAAAGAAATCACACACACACACATCTGTTTGGTAAACGATTAACACTGATTTAAACGTAACACTGACACAGAAATACTCGTCGCAAAACACTTTCGAGTTGTGGCAGCAAACAACCAATCGCGTCGCTCGAGAGACGGGTCGCGGCGTCCACAACTGGAGCGACCGCGTGGCGCTCTTCGTCCCATCCGAAATGCTGTAACAGCAGAGGTCGCAACCGGGTACCCGATACCCGTACCCTACCCGATACCCGGCTACCCGTACCCGGCCCTAGTAGCCGCACGTGACTCACCCCAACCAATGAGTGAGAAGGCCGTGAGTCACTGGTGAGTAACCGTTTGTCACTCATTTCCCAACGTCTTGTCTCTTCTCACAATTCAAGTTCCTAGAATCAACCCACCCGTGCCTGCAACATGACTTCATCCCAGAGGTCGCAATCGGGTACCCGATACCCGTACCCTACCCGATACCCATACGGGTAGCCGGATATCGGGTAGGGTACGGGTACCCGTTTGTGACCCTGGTGTGGCCGGGTACGGGTAAGGAATCAAAACCCGTTTGCGACCTCTGTGTAACAGCCTCCCCGCCATCGCGCTGGGCAGAATGTAACAATTTCAAATTACCGGAGAGACACGACGTGGATTACAGCGAGTAGTCACGCTGAGCTTTGTCCATTGGACACTGATAGCAAGTTACGCGTCGGAGTAAACTTTACATAATGAATGTACGTGTCATTTAGAAAGTGCCTATCTCTGGCGACAAGACGCCTCAAAATATATTCTTTCACCGCTGGTGGGAACTGATGGATGCAGCCAGCCATGCTGACACGGCTCACGTGGGGATGGTTGGCCAGCGTTACGCCCGGCCGCCTTTGTCTCCACAGTGGCTTTTTGTTGACACACCGCACCAGATACTGATTTGCGGGGTGGCCCAGGACCGATTTTAGATAATCACCACCGGTTACTGGCGGTGGTCGTGAGCGGTTATCGAACTCGGGTCGTCAGGTTCGTAGCGCAGCGCTAACCGCCAGCGCCACCGCTCCCCCCACACGATGCACATTCCTCCCGCGAGCCCTCCCAAACGAGCAGTCATTGTACATTCATTACGATATCCGAGAACTTCCAGTCGATCCGCACACCCCGTGTGTGCACGTGGTCTGACCCTGACGCGCCGCTGGCAAAGCAAAGCGCCTGGAAATGAGATGCAAAGCGTCCACGCGATGTTGGGCTTCTTCAATTCAGTTCGTGGTTCCGTTCCTGAAGGGCTGTTGTTGTTGTTTTTTGTTACAGCTCAGGTAAAGGAAAAATGTCGCTGGCAATTTACTTTTCGCGAGGAAGCACTCGATCACAACTTTCGCTTTGATGGCGCCAGCTCGTTGAATCAAACCGTCTCCGATCACTCAAAGTCTCAAAAAATATTTTCGATTTGTGAAACCAAGCGAGCAACATTGTTTTTTTTTGTCATCACCCATTTCCATCTGAAAAATAATACATTCACAGTTCCCCCACGCTGGCGATGTTACACCGCAGCAAACTCAAATGTTCATCGCAGAGATCAAGTTCCTCGTTCATTTACAATCACAACGCCCTTTCACGTGTTTTGACCGATAACCGATCTGGTGAAGACTGCTGCTGCCGCCGCCGCTGCTACGTTGACAGTCAAAGCGCAAACGACAAACAAACACAACGCGATCCGTCATTTATGACGCCCGGTACGGCCTTGAAAGTAAAATATATATATGATAGGCGACGTTTCGGGCAAATGACCCTACTCGATTGGGTGCTATTTGAAGAAGGGCCAATGCCTATTCTATATTTCTCCATTTGAAGGCCACACACACAAACGCACGCGGCGTTATTGACACACGCGTGCGAGGGGGGCAAGGGGGGGGCTTCTTCGGTTCGCTTCGCGAAGGCGTGCGGCACGAAACGTTGGACATCATCGCGCCAAGCAACAAAGTGGCTTTCAACCTGAGCGCACATCGGGGAGCTCTGCAGCACAACCGTGAGAACTTATGCGGTCGTGAAAAAACGCAAACTCAAACCACATTGGTTTTGTTTTGTTGTGAACCCCCCCCACACACGCGCACATCCGCTTTGGTTGAATAAATAAATAACCCCCAGGCTTCTTTGTCAAATGGATTCCATGTGTCCCTTCCTCGCAGCCTAAACGGCAGCGGGACGGATGAGGAAAAGATCTTTGGCACTGACGCTGGAGAATCAGCTACTTCTGCAGCTATGGGGTTTGCGAGTGAGCTGCGGGAACGTCGATTTCTGCCGTCGTTCACAATTCGACGTACAGAGGGCATTTAGCAAAGAGCACCCTCGAGCCAAGACCCAGAACCCGACTTGAAAGGGTTCTTGCCTATAAACGCGTCTGGCAGTTCAACCCAGCGTCGATTGGGTTCGAGCGAGCAGCCCGACTCTGCTCACGAAACACTGGAATGTAAAAAAAAAGTGGTCGAGAATTTCGCTTGGTGCTAATCCAATGCCACTGAAATTGGGGACGTGTTTGTTTTTGTCAAACAATCAAAAAAAGCGTGGATTTAAAGCACACGTGGACCTTCGCGACCGATAATATTCGCAATTGATTTTGGGTCAGATCGCCATGCGAGTATAGTGGCACGGCAAACATTGGCACGGCACACATTGGCAAGGCTCACATTGGCACGGCACACACGTATGTGTGTTGAACTTCTTTCGCACCGTACGTAGCCACACGTGATAATCGGAGGTGTGGGGGAAAGACAACAAACGGAACACATAAGACAGTTCTAAAGAAATTAGTTTTCAATCTAGATTTAAAGGTGCATAGCTCCAATGGCAGAAGCGCATCTGAAAGCGTGCGATGTGGTGACCGTCTATGTTCAATGGCTAGCCCAAAGCCGCTGTGATGATGACCGGAGTTGGCATGATGGTTTGTGTTCCTTGACGAGATCAGCAAGGTATTGTGGTTCATTTGTGGAAAGCACTTTGTGTGTAATGAGTGCGAACTTATATTGTATTCGTTCACCATTGGAACCTCATTTGCCAGTAAAAAATATGATAATTGGTTTTTTACCCTTCTATCTGGCAACAAAACTGACATGTGAGACTAGGCTCTAAGGAAAGCTGTCTCGGGTGTGGACCAATCAACTTCAAGGACAGTGCACATTATCAGAGTTATGTTTTTTGTTTGCATTATGACTGCAGGTATTGTGGTCTATGCAAACATGACTCCTTGTAAAAAAGGTGTCAGTTTTGTTGCCAGATAGAAGGGTAAAAAAACAATTATCATTGTATTCGTTCGTCAACTGGAAGCCAATGCAGAGTCACGAGCACTGAAAGCAGATGGTCAGATCTTGCAGTGCCCGCCATGACATGTGCCAAATAATTTAATATATGCTGCAGCTTGGTAATGTTTTGCCAGACATCCCGTAGCATAGTAAGTTGCAATACTCGATCCTTGTTGATATTTTGATACACGACTCAATAGTGGTCGAATGTGTAGAGCCCTTGTTATATTCTAGTCGAGCATGGTGCCGCGGCTCTATAGACGAGTAGAAAACTGAATCCTGGAGTCTGTGACCACCACATCTGATCCTCCAACAACATACATTGATTTGCCAAAAAAATGGCGATCCTGAGACAACCAGAACAAGTGGCAATTCTCCCGAACAACCCATCAGGGGTCCTCCTGAAAGACAATGTTGACACTCAGCGAGGCTTTCCTGGAAGGTTACGGCAAGCCCCTCAAACGACACCCTTCTGAAGACCCTGGCCAGGCCTCAGAACCTACCCTAAAGGCCTCACCACAACCGAAGATCTCAACTAGGCCTGAAGAAGAACGAGGCAGACTTTTCTGGGTAACAGATTAAAATAAAAGCAATTCTCTTATCGGCAGCACCAAATCCAGTCACTTCAGTAAGCCTGTCGTTACCCCCTGCTCGCTAATCTGCATCGCTCAGGAAGAGACATGCGAAACTAGGAGGTCGAGATGCCGCCGCCCGGAGACCCGCGGACCGACGACACCCCCTCAAAACGGATGGCTTTTGTCCCCGGCTTCCTCCACCTTGAGCCCCTCAGTCCCCACGTCCTCCAACAGCAGCCCGTCCTCGTATTTCAGGATAGCCCTGAGCTGGGCCCAGAAAAAGCTCTGCTTGGTGGCCTCCGCGGGCCACTCCAGGTAGGTCTTCTTGGACAGCAGCTTGCGCAGCTTGCAGAAGCGGCTGGGCAGCGATTCGGGGCGGATGGGCTCCTTGAGGAGCAGCACGAGGTCCTCCATGGCGTCGTGCGCCGGCCGCTGGTGCGCAAAGTACAGCTCGTAGTTGCACCACTCGCTGTCGACGAAGGCACTGGACAGCACGAAGATCACCTTGCGGCTGAGCTCGATGCTGTCGATGATGTTGTCGATGATCCACATGCCGGGCGTGAAGTCGCGCTCGTGCACGCACACGCGCAGCGGCGGGCGCGCCGACTCGAGCTGCGGCATGAGGTTCTCGCGCACCCACGCGGCGTCCTCGTGGCTGTACGAGATGAACGCGTGGAAGCGGTAGTCCCGCCCCCCCGGCGCAAACTGCCTGCCGCCCCCCCTCATCCGCTTGCGCCGCTTCGAGCGCAGCAGGTTCCACATTGCGCAGATGTACCAGGGCACGTCGAAGCGGCGGCACAGCGCGAGGCACACGACCGCCAGTGCCGCCGTCACCACCACCGACACCAGCACCACGAGTCGCACGTCACACTCCAGCGAGCCGGGTCGGAAACGCTCGAGCTGCGTGCCCAGCAGCTGCGCCGGGTGGTAGCACGTGTAGTTGTTGGGCCAGCCCTCGAGCCGCACGGGCGAGTCGTGGGCCCGCACCTCCGTCAGGAAGCCCCACAGGTCGCAGGTGCACTGGAAGGGGTTGTTGTCAGCCCGCAGGCTGCGCAGGGCCACCATGAGCTCGAAGGTGCCACGGTCGATGACGCCGAAGGAGTTGCGGTCGATGGCAAGGAAGCGCAGGACAGGCGCTCGCCAGCCCGACGGGATGTACTTGATGTTGTTGCCGCTGAGCAGCAGGCACTCGAGCCTGTCGGCGCGGGCGAAGTAGCCGAGGTCGAGCCGGTCGACGTCGCTGAAGGACAGGTCGAGGTGGCGCAGCGTGAGTGGCAGGCAGCCGTAGACGTCGCCCGCCGCGCGGTTGTACGACAGGTCCAGCCACTCGATCGGCTGGCTCCAGTTGCAGCGCTCGACCGCGCCGCCGATGGAGTTGCGCGCCAGCGAGATGTTGCGCAGCGCGCCCCAATCGCGCACCAGCTGCGCCACCGTCGCCAGCCGTGTCAGCGCGTTTTCGGCGAGCAGTAGCGTGCCCAGGAGTGGCACCGTGCCGCGGTAGTCGCAGCCCACGTTGAGGAGCGCCGAATCCGTGAGCCGATTGTTGGAGATGTCCGCCGTGACCACGCGGCGCATGGCGGCCCAGGCGGGGCACGGGATGACGTTGAAGTTGACGTTGTTGATCGTCAGCACGTCGAGGCTACTGTACCAGTTGAAGTTGCCGTCGAACAGCAGCACCTCCGGGTTGGTGATGTCGCGGAAGGCCAGCGCCCGCAACGGCAGCATCCCCACAGGCACGCGGGGTCGCTCCGTCACGGCCGATTTCGTGAAGTCGACGGCGATCAGCGCCATTGCCTCCACGAAGCTGCGCTGCAGGTGCTTGAGGATCAGGTAGTGCAGGTTCTCGTTGAACTTGCCGCGGAAGAACTCGAGGTTGCGCAGGCCGGAGAGGCGCGGCAGCGGCGAGAAGAGGTCGTCGGCGCCCATGTAGTAGTTGGTGGCGAAGAGGCGACGGAAGCGCAGGCTGCGGACGCTCGTGGCCGCGAGGTCGGCCAGCATCGGCGTCACCGTCGTCGGCGCCGCGTCCAAGTCACAGTCCAGGGTGATGGCCGGCTTGGCGCTCCCGGCCAGCGAGGCCAGGGCACCCGGCTCATAACTCCGGAAGCCCTGCCCGGTCTTGAGGGAGAAGATCGTCAAGTCGAGCGAGCGGAGGGCCGCGAGGTCGTCAGCCCTCACGTCCGACACCAGCTCGCCGCCGAGCCACAGGTGGCGCAGCGAGGTGAGGCGCGAGAAGGTGGTGCCCAGCTCGACGCGCTGGTACATGTTGTTCGAGACGTTGAGCATGCGCAGGCTGCCGAGCAGAGGCAACAGCTGAGCGTCGGGCACCACCGTGAGGCTGCGGGCGGAGAGGGGGAAGGGTCACGTGATGCATAACCAGAACCCCCCCCCCGCAGCGTCGGCAATGCTGGAGGGGGTCGAGCCCCCCCCCCCCCCCCCCCCGCTGCTCAACGCTCAGAAACCTCACCCACCCCCGCCGTTTCAAAATTCTTATATCTGTACATTTTTTGGCCGGCCATGCATCCATGTGTCAGTGCGTCCAACCCACCCGCCCATCCGTCCATTCGTTTCTCCCGTTCGTTCTTCCGTCCATCTATCCGAACGTCCGTACGTCGGCCCATCCATCCCAACGCGTCCGTCTCTCCGCCCGCGCGACCACCCGCCCACACGCCCGCATCCGCGTCACCTGTTGTTGAAGAGGTCGAGCTCTTCGAGGGCGTTGCAGCCAAGGAAGGCGCTGTCGTGCATGCGCGCCATAACGTTGAACTGCAGCTTGAGCTGGCGCAGCACCGGGTAGCGCCCGAATGCCCGCTCGCCCAACTCCGCCAGCTCGTTCCGCGACAGGTCCAGCGAGGAGATGTTCGCCGGCAGCCCCTGGGGCACGCGCGTCAGCCTGCGCCCCGAGCAGTCCGCGTGCGAGTCCGTCAGCTTGCAGTTCTCGGCTGCCTCCACCGACCCCGTGGATGACCCAGCCGATGGACCAGCTGATGACCCAGCTGATGACCCAGCCGATGACCCAGCTGATGACCCAGCCGATGGACCAGATGCAGCTGATGACCCAGCTGATGACCCAGCCGATGGACCAGCTGATGACCCAGCTGATGACTCAGCTGATGACCCAGCCGATGGACCAGCTGATGAACCAGCCGATGGACCAGCCAATGACCCAGCTGATGAACCAGCCGATGACCCAGCTGATGACCCGGCTGATGACCCAGCCGATGACCCAGCTGATGAACCAGCCGATGACCCAGCCGATGACCCAGCTGATGACCCAGCCGATGACCCAGCTGATGAACCAGCCGATGACCCAGCCGATGACCCAGCTGATGACCCAGCCGATGACCCAGCTGATGAACCAGCCGATGACCCAGCCGATGACCCAGCTGATGAACCAGCCGGTGACTCGTCCCTTCTCGACTCCCACGGTGGCGTAGCTGGTGTCCCAGCTGGTGATCTGGCGGATGATCTAGCCGTTGACGCCACTCTTGACTCGTCCAATAACCCGGCTAGTGACTCGACCAATGACACCGACGATGAAGCCGTTGCTGCTGATGCTGCTGGTGATCTTCCCGCTGGCCCTGTTGCTGACCTCCCTCTTGACCTCAATACTGACCCCCCGGTTGACTGCACCGGTAATGTTAACGCCGTCCCTGCTGCTGCTTCTGCCGAGCCCAACGCTGACCCCAAGGGCTCGCGATCTCTGTCTGGTGTCGCCCATCCAGCGATGGGTAGCAGGGAGCACAGCAAGAAGGTTGCCATGGGTGTGGTCCAGAAACTGGGAAGCATCGTTCCGCCTGGTCTGACGCAAAGACACGTTCACACACACACAGATATTGATCCACTGCGGGACGAGGGCCAATCGCATCACGCTGTTTAAGTTGACCGCACTTCACCACGCTGGTCAGTTTGGGTCGGTGAACGTGGGGGGGGGGGGGGCATAGGTAGACGTGGCAGCATAGAAGTGCGGTACAACGACGGATTTGGCTTCAGCGTCCACGAGATTTAACGTGCTCGGTGTGTTCCGTGTGATTCGCTGCAGCCTGCGGTGACTGCAGGCCGTGCCCTACACTAACCTGTGATTTACACATGTTACAGCGCAGCATCGCACATTCCATGCCGTACGTGAGATGGACAAACCCTCAACTATACGCCGCTAGGCAGGGCTTATTGGGGGGGGACATGTGGTTTAGAGTCAAGGCGCACATCAATAACGTGGCGGTTAATATCAGCAGCGGGTGATTGTTTGACAAGCCTGGGAGTCGTCGAGAACCAGAAAGGCAAAAAAAACCGGTCCAGAATTTGCACGCTTAGGTAAACACTTTTTTTTCGCTCGGCAAAAAGTGTGCACGCGACTCGAACTCGATGAGCCCAGAACGCGCCGCGGATCTAAGCAGGGTCGAAGCAGTGCTGTGGGGCCGTCCATAAATGACGTCACGCAGCTAGGGGAGGGGGGGGGTCAGACATTTGTGACGATGTGTGATGGGGGGGGGGGGAGAAATGTGACGTCACATCAAAATGCGTAACTTTAAATAAGTATAGACAACACGTTCTACCTTAATTAAATAGACGTTTTAATAAATGTTTTCTCCTACAACATCAGAGTGCAGCGACACATTAAATACGCACTGCAATGACAATAGTTTAAAGCGATTTGAAGCATGTTTTATTTTTGCGGGGGGGGGGGCAGAGCTTTGTGACGGGAGGGGGGAGGTCCAATATCTCAAATATGACGTCACAAAGCTCTGCCCCCCCCCCGCAAAAATAAAACATGCTTCAAATCGCTTTAAACTATTGTCATTGCAGTGCGTATTTAATGTGGCGCTGCACTCTGATGTTGTAGGAGAAAACATTTATTACAAAGACTATTTAATTATGTAGAACGTCTTGTCAATATTTATTTAAAGTTGCGCATTTTGATGTGACGTCACATTTCTCCCCCCCCCCCCCCCCCATCACACATCGTCACAAATGTCTGACCCCCCCCCAAGTGCGTGACGTCATTTATGGACGGTCCCTTAACCGTGGCCGGCTGTCGAACTCGGTGCGCCAACCACTGTGCCACCGCTCCCCTGAACTGCAGGATTTAAAAAGTCCACGTGCGTACAGGGAGGGGGGGAGGGGTCAGGTTTTGACAGACTTGTGCGTACCTACTCAATGGATGGCCCCTTACACCCCCCCATGAGCGTCAGGCATGAGCCACAGGCGCTGCTTACATTGGCAAGCGATGTCTGAACCGAGTTTCTCAACGCGACTTCACCAATCCCCAGTGGTGGTGACAATCAGTGCGGCTCAACAGCCTCCATGGACCGACACAGCGTTGAGAGGCCCTCCTCATTCAGCAGCAGTGGATTTGCAAAAAAAGTGTGTGGAAGCTTGGGGTGTGTAACGTTTCGAGTTTGACCACAAGAAACAGGGGGCTTGTGCCGAGCAAGGGGCAATCATGAGCACCGTGTATATGGTGGTTGCAGTCTGGAACGTGTCCAGTTTGAATTAGTTTAATTTGGCCCAATTCGTCAGCCAGTCCAGACAAGCCCTCTGTGTAAGAAGGCGACAGATCAGGGGTCGGCAATCTGCGGCTTTGGAGCCGCGTGCGGGCCTTTACGGACTGCTTCGTCACGTGTTGCTGTATTTTCTTGGATGTTCTGTTTGCACTCAGTCACATATTCACTTTAAGATGTTTTTTGTTCATGTTTTAGTTTTTTTGTTTGTTGCGGTTGCACCCGATTCAAGAGCCGTAAGGCTCACAGGGCTATACCTAATAAATGAACTTGAAACTTGAACTTGCTTCGCAGGGCAGGAAAAGAGGGCGGCACCTTGCACAGCATCGGCGTCTTAAGTGTTGCCAGATGTTGCTTCAGCTCAAGGCCGGAGCCATGGAGTCAACATTGGGGGGGAGGGGCAATCTTCCAGGCGGTCTGGGGGTCCCCCCCCCCCCCCCCAGAAAAAAAAATCTAAATTTAAAAACTCAATTCCTGCCATTTCCTGCCTAAAATATTACAAAATTCACTAACACATAGGATGGACTTTTTATTATTTTTTTTTACAATAATGTCTAATAGTGTATTGTATAACATTGCTCTGTTTTTTTTTTACCTTTTCTTGTTCCATTGTATGTAATGGCAGTGATTAGGGATTAATAAAGTATAACCATAACCACAATCATATAAACAGAAATGTCTTTTATAGCAATATATTGGGGGGGGCATTTTGAGCATATTTGAATATTGGGGGGAGATGTGTCCTCCCCCAATCTATATTATAATAACGTCCTTGCTTCAGCTATAATAATAGGGGTTTTCACCTTTTTTCTGGCAACAAAACTGAAACCTTTTACAAGGAACCATGTGTGCATTGACCACAAGTATTGTGCTAGAAAAAAGGGGAAAACCCCTATTATCATATTTTGGTACTGGCAAAGGAGGGCTAATGCTGCTGCTTGCTTCGGCTACTCAATGGTCACAATTCTCGAGATAATCCGTGGGCGGATTTTCCGGTTGACATATTTATCCTTATTTGCGACGAGAAAAAGAAAAAAAAACGGAGGCTTTCGTGACCAATATCATCCATAATACAGGTTTTTTTGGGGGGGGGTTAGATCGCGTAAATATATAAATGTGGTGTCGTTAAACCCGCTACCACCCGACACAGCCAACTAGTAAGGCGTTTGTCACGTAAACAGAACGTGCCAATTCGTTACGAGTACAGCACTAACCGGTGTGTTGAAGAGCAAATCCACAACATTGTAAATGTTGTAAATGTTGTGTATTTGCGAACCCAAAAGAACATGTATTACACTGGTCAACACACTTTTTCTGGCATAAGGTATTCCAACGGTTTTAAGGTAATTTTGGGGTGCTGATTCCAAATCTGGCATCAGTTTTTGTCTATCACATCAGGTTTTTGAGATATCAAATATTGCATTTTCAATAAAAACTGCAGAAGAAAAATATTAAATAAATGTGGATATCTACATAAAATGACATTATAAACACACTATCCTAAAAATACAGCACCATATTTTAACACTAACGCAGTCACTGACTCGCAACAACTTGCAATCATAAGTGACAGAGTTAATTTCGGGTAGAATCAATGAAAATGGGGTATGCCGATAGCATAAAAATGAGACGTGATAGAGCAGATTTGGAATCAGAACCCTAAAATTAGTCTAAACAGCTGCAAAAATCCAGGCCAGAAAAAAATGTTTATATTTTGTTGACCAGTGTTACAGAAAAATAAACTGTTGCAGGCTTTTGGGGTCAATGATTAAGCTGCTCAAGGGCAGGTGACTCATGAGGATACAAATAGTCCGTTGGGGGGGGGGGGAGCGGTTGTGCAGTGGTCAGCGCGCTACGCTACGATCCCGGCCACCCGGGTTCGATTCCCGCTCACGGCCAACACCAGTGACAACTATCTGAATCGGTCCTGGGCATCGCCTTGGTTGACTCAGCTAAAAAAAAAAAACGAGAACCTGGTTTAATGTGTAAACATCGTCATCGGGGAGACAAAGGTGACCGGGCGTGTCGCTGGCCACACAACACCTCTCCCGTGCTGTGCCGGCCTTCATAGGTGCTGCTCGCTCACAGCACTTTGCCCCGACAGCCTGTAGAGGCTACACAGGAGGGGGATCTTTTGTCTTTGCACTGAGGCAGCGAGATAAACACAGCGCTCGACTTTAAGAATTCCAAAAACCAAAAACAAACAAACGTGGGAGTTCATCGGCAGGCTGCACAGATGTAATATTAACATATCGTGCGTGTGGTCTCGGGGTCACTCTGCGATCCGGCTAATCCACATACACTTCCCAAATTCCGGTGTTCGACTATCCATCGGACGCGCGTGCCATACGCCGCTCGCAAATCTAAGAGAGCTTCCCTCCCATTGAGGAGCGAGGGACATTTGTTGACTCTGCACAACTGGCGAGAGATCGAGACAGCTGGCGCAGCGGTCGTTTAAATCCCCACGACACTCGGCGCGCGGTACAATATCTGTCGCGGGCAGGACATTCAGACAAGGGACTTGATTTGAATTCGAGCAGGGCCCCCTAAATAAAAAAACACGTAAATATAAAAACACAAATTTTTAACTTGCATAGAAAAGTAATTGTATTTTTGCATTTGCTGTACAGCCAGATAATACTACAAATCGCTAGCCTTAAACACCCAGTCGTTCATAAAATTTGAAGGCGGTATAGTACTATAGTAATAGAGCAAGTGCAGAATCACTGAACCGGAATTGATAGCTTGAAAGCATTTAGCGTGGGGCCCTTAAAAGTGCGGGGCCCGTAGCTACTACATGTGTAGCTACTACATATGTAGTAGCTACTACATATGTAGTAGCTACTACATATGTAGTAGCTACTACACGTGTAGTTGCTGCTACATGTGTAGCTACTACATATGTAGTAGCTACACATGTAGCAGCAACTATACGTGTAGTAGCTACTACACGTGTAGTAGCTACACATGTAGTAGCTACGGGCCCCGCACTTTTAAGGGCCCCGCGCTAAACGCTTTCAAGCTATCAATTCCGCTTCAGTGTAGTAGCTACTACTACATATGTTGCTACTTTTGCTACTACGATAATCTGGCACTGAACCCGGGCACGTGCCTCGTTCGTTCTGCATCTCGGCTCGCGGCGAGTTCTGGGTGTACACGAGGTCGCTGCTGTAGCCCCTTGCGAGTGGGGCACGTTCCCCTCCACCTCTGCCGTGTCCCGTAAACTACCGCCACTGCCGACCGCCTTAGGGCTGTGGTCATCACAGAGCCGCTTGGCTCAATGTGGGCACCCCCCACCCCTCTCCTGACCCAGCTGACACAACGTAGCCTGGTTCTGGCAGCCACAATTGACTTGAACCTCACTGGCACTCGCCTCCTTCAACGGAGGAAGAACAGCAACAAAACGACACCAACTCTCCATCTCTCTCTCGAAGACCTCTCGTCGTGTCCAGCAGCAGACCTCGACATTGTACACTGAGCCCCTGAGTGTATCGCACCTGCTGCTGCTGCTGCTGCTGCCTCCTTCACGCAAAGAAAGAGATCAGAAGCGTCGCATTTGCGCTCGGACGTTGCGCCACCCGCTCCACGTCCACAATCCGCTCCGCACCTTTGACGCGCGGTTGGCGCACCGAGCAGGTACGCGCACGACAGTCGCGGTGGGCATGCGGCGACAGGGTGAGAGTCTCATTACCTGCTGGCACCTGGGCTCACTCGTAGCAGTGGGAGCGGTCGTGGCCGAGTCGCAAAGCCACCGACCCGCCACGGAAGAGACGCGCTCGCACGGCCGAGACAAAACGTCGAAGTCTTCCTCCTCCTCCTCTTCTTCTTCTAGCGGCGGTGGCTGTGGACTCGGTGGCGTCGCGGCCGATTGAATGCGACCCATTGGCCCCTCTTCACGCGGACAGCAGCAGGGCGCAGTGGCCGTTCCATCGGCAACACGAAACTCAAGAGAGGCGGAGAAACAAAAGAAAAGACAAAGTTCCTCCCCAGCCCCGTATAGCCTCAGCAGACTTCTGGGACAAGTGCCGTTAGCGAGTAGCACCTGTGGAGGCCGGCACTGTGGCACACGACGGGGTTGGGGTAGTCGGCACCACGCCCGGACGCCTTTGTCTTCCCCAAGTGGTGATACGTTACGCGGCGCACCGGGAGCTCATTTGAGGCCGCGTCGACCTCGGAGATGCCAAGAACCGGTTCGGATAATCGTCGTGAGCAGGAATTGAACTCGGGTGGCCGGGGTTGGTGGCGCAGCGCAGCGCTAACCGCAACGCCACCGCTCCCCGCGAGGCTCGGTCAACAAAGATCCCCCGCATCGCAAGATCCCATAACCACACACAACACGCAACACACGGAGTCTGCCAAAACCCTCCTCCTCTTCCTTGTCGAGTTAGGCACCAACAGGCGAGTGCTCCCACCACGAGCGCCACGCGTAACCGGCCGTCTCTCTGTTGATCCACACGCGGCGTTTCCTCTTCACCGAGTGGCGGGCTCTCTACCAAACCCTCCTCCTATTCTCTCGATGTTGTTACGTCATTGGTGACCAGGCAGAGAGTTAAACATGCGTGTCTGGGTGTGCGTGTGTGTGCGTGTGTGTGCATGTTTGTGTGTCTGGGTGTGTGTGCATGTCTGGGTGTGCGTGTCTGGGTGTGTGTGTGTGCATGTCTGGGTGTTTATGTGCGTGTCTGGGTGTGTGTGTATGTGCGTGTTTGGGTGTGTGTGCGTGTCTGTATCGTTTCGGCCTTCATAGGCGCTCGCTAACAGCACTTGCCCCTACAGTCTGCTAAGGCTACACGGGGGGATCTTTGTCTTTGTGTGCGAGTGGTGGAGCAGCGGTTAGCGCGGTGCGCTACTTACCGAACAGAGACACGATTTCGATTTCCGCTCACCGGTCCTGGGCCTTCCCTAGGTCGACTCAGCCTCAAATGAGTACCTGGTGAGACAAAGGCGGCCGGGCGTGGTGCTGGCCACCCACCCCCTCGTGTGCCGTGCCGGCCTTCAAAGGTGCTCCCTAACAGCACTTGCCCCAACAGTCTGCGAAGGCTATACGGGGGATCTTTGTCTTGTTTGTGTGTTTTCAGCTGTGGCGATGACTACTTTGGCAGTGGTGCTGTGCATGAGCAAGCACTAATAGCGCCAGGCATTCGCCCCAAAGTCACTGTGGCCTTGAACAGGAATAAGATATATAATGAATAAGCGACGTTTCGGGGGAAATGGTCCTTATTCCATAGCAGGTAGAACTGAGTCATTTTGTTTCGGCCGATGACTTCTTCTTCACAGCACATAAATAAGCAATGTATGTGCCCAAACTGTCTAAAAACAATATGTACATTTTTTCCCTCCCCCTATTAAGGCCACACACACACACTGTGTGTTGTGACTGCGACAGAACGCGTTAATCTTCTCGTCATTAACCGCGCCTGTGCACCTACTGCCAAAACGGCAGCAGCAGCAGCAACAGCAAACAGCGTCATTAAAGAATGGGTCGCCCTAACGTGTTCAATTGAGACATTTAAATGACCTAGGAAAAAAATGATGACTCCGTATGATCGAGGCACCGGCTGGCAATTAAATCCGAGCAAGCGTTGCTCAAGGCACTCGAGCGCTGCATTTGCCAACGAGTATTTATTGACGGGTTTTGATTTACAGCTGCAATGGCCCTCCGAGTCGTGAATCTGATAATTGTTTTTTTACCCTTCTATCTGGCAACAAAACTGACACCTTTTTTTTACAATGAGTCATGTTTGCATAGACCACAAAACCTGCAGCCATAATGCAAACAAAAAACATAAATCTGATAATATATGCACTGTCTAGATTTGAAGCTTTCGTGACTGCAAGGATTCATATTCTTAGGTTTTTTCGGTAAAGTCACGTATGTAAAAAAATTAAAATGAATAAAAGTAAAATAAAATAAAAATCACGACGTTTCGGAGGCAACACAAGCTGACGGTTCCACCTGAAGACGGAAGCTTGTGTTGCCTCCGAAACGTCGTGATTTTTATTTTATTTTACTTTCATTAATTTTAAATTCTTTTTACCTACGTGACTTTACCGAAAAAACCTAAGAATATATGCACTGTCCTTGAAGTTGATTGGTCCACACCCGAGACAGCTTTCCTTAGGGCCTAGTCTCACATGGTGTTGGACCAGATGACGCCAAAAGGCGCATATATTATCAGAGTTATGTTTTTGTTTGCATTATGGCTGCAGGTATTGTGGTCTATGCAAACATGACTCCTTGTAATAAAAAAAAGTGTCAGTTTTGTTGCCAGATAGAAGGGTAAAAAAACAATTATTATATTTTTTTACTGGCAAATGAAGTTCCAATGGTGACTCGTGAATCGTTCACCCTTCGCGGCGTTTGGCGAGAAGCCACCGCAAGTCAATAAATGTCTTCGCTTTTCAAACGCTTGTCTGGAAGGTTGAGTGTCGTCTCGACTGTGCCACGGTAGGCGATGTTATGAACATGTGATGTATATAGTTTATTGTAAAAGTTCAAACATAGTTCCGATGATCACTGTTACATTGATTTTATAGCTTTATTTTGGTGATTTCGAAAACGTTTATGGTTTAGCCATGTTTGTTTGTTGTAGTACAGAGTTAGACTGATAACTTGAATCTAAATTGTCTTATGGTTGTTATTGTTTGACTTGCATCCCACTGGGATTTTTGCACACAGCTTTGATATACGGTGTTTTTTTCTCGAAGACTTTGCTGTTTTTTCCTGGATTTTTCTGTTTGAGCGTAGTCACTTTAAGATGTTACTTGTTCATGTTTTTGTTTGTTGCGGTTGCACCCGGATTCAAGAGCCGAATGGCTCACAGGGCTATACCTGATAAATGAAACTGATGGCTTCTGTTCAACTTTACGAGGCGGCTTGGGTCCAGGCGGCGCACAAGGCGTGCAAACACGACAAGATTAAATCGATATCTCTTATCGCTCCGTTATAAAACGTTAATCATCGACGAGCCCAGTAATTAATCCAGCGGCCTGCTGCGCGTCCAAAAAAAAAGTTATTTTCTCCAGACATTGGTGTTCATCTCTCGTTTACAGCACTGCCTGCAGAGCCAGTCCTGGACATTCCACGTTTCTGTGACGGGGACGAGTCCACCAGTACGAGTCAACCACTGTTGGTTGGCTTCACCCACGGCGGCATTGATTTGATCGCCCCCAGAAGAGATGGTGGCCTCAATATCGATTTGAAGCTTTCGTGACTGCAGGAATCCATACTCTTTGGTTCTTTCGGTAAAAGTCACGTAGTTAGGAAAACTATAGATCACGACGTTTCGATCGCAACACAAGACGGTCGCTTGCGTTGCGATCGAAACGTCGTGATATATTATATTTTCTACCTACGTGACTTTCACCGAAAGAACCAAAGAGTATGGTGGCCTCAGTTCAGCCTCCCAACCAGGATTTGAAATAGTCCTAGGAAGTATGGAGTTCATGATAATGATAATGACCGTTACCTTCCAGGACGGCGTGGCACGGATCAACCCGCTGTGATCCCGGCTCACCGGGACAAGGAAGTGCGCTGAAAAAGACGTGGATTCTACCCGTTCCGTCTGTGTGGGATACAGCGTTGCCCCCTCACACGCGCGTAGATTTTCTCCCGGTGCTCCGCTTTCATTCCCATTTGCACAAACACTCGTTCATTGGCCGAGAACGCCTTCATTTATAGAGGATCGCAGAGCTCGGGCAATGTTTGGTAGTGGAGCTGACTCACACCGCCGACTCACGCAGGCTTGAGAGGGATCACCATTATCTTCGCTACAAATCACCACAGGCTTTCCCCACGGTTCAGACCCGAATGGCAAACGGAACTACAGTTTCGTTCACACCGAATCAACTTCATGGAGGGGGTGGGGGGGTTGATCGTGACGCCCCATGCTCTTTGTGTTTAGTTTATTGTCCCACACCACATCCGATTAGCACAGTTGGCTACGTACGGACAGGGAGCGTTTTTTGTTTTTTGTTTTTTACCGCTCAGCGTTAACATTCAAGATAACAGATCTCCGAACCAGAAGGGCGACTCCGCCAGGTCACCGGAGACGATATACATCTCCAGCGAATTCTGATCGCTGGACAACATCGGCGCGAACCTGCTCCGATGCTATCGTACAATCTCCTGTCGTGGCTATTTTAGTCGAGGGCACGGAACGGCGAGCTGCGAAAGGTGGTCAAGGCAATAGCGCCTCGGGTCGACACGAAAGTGAGATTTGACTACGCAGTCGGAAGGAAGAGGGCGCCTTTGTGAATGAAATGTGGTCGCTTTGCATGTCGCACGTTCAGGGGACGACGGATAAGAAGCTGTTTGGCGAGCACGTATTGAGGCCGGCACGGCGACACGGGGACAGTGACCCTCGGTCTTTGTCTCATTGTCTCGCCCCCCCCCAAGGGTGGCCGACGTCGTTCGCACGAACCACGGGCACGGTAGACGGATAAGAAGCTAAATTTCGATTTAAAGCTTTCGTGACTGCAGGGATTCATCTTCTTGGTTCTTTCGGTAAAGTCACGTAGAAGGGAAGTAATCAAATAATAAAAATAAAACATAATAAAATAATATTTTTTTATGTTTTATTTTTATTATTTTATTATTTCCCTTCTACTTGACTTTACCGAAAGAACCAAGAAGATGAAATAAAATAATATTTTATTGTTTTATTTTTTATATTTTATTACTTCCCTTCTACGTGACTTTACCGAAAGAACCAAGAAGATGAAAGGATAAGAAGCTGTTTGGCGAGCACGTATTGAGGCCGGCACGGCGACACGGGGACAGTGACCCCCCGTCTTTGTCTCATTGTCTCCCCCCCCCGCCCCCCCAAGGGTGGCCGACGTCGGTCGCACGAACCACGGGAACGATATTCACATTGAAGGCTGAATCGACATAAGGGGGCAGGCGGGGTCTGAAACCAGTCGATGATGACGCTGCTGCTGCTGCTGTTGTTTCGCCATGGTCAGGAGTCAAACTCAGGCACGATTGGAGGCGGCGGCGATTCGTCTGCCACAAGGGAGAGGTGTTGTGGCCACGGCTTCGGGGTGGGTCGACTCGTACATCCAGCAGTGGATTGAACATGGGTCCATGGGAGATGCGGTTAATAGCCGAGTCAAACGCTCCTCTCTTCGTCCGCTTTAAGTCAACCCGCGTGCTCGCACTCATCTCCGGATTGAGCAGGGGGGGGTTGGTTGGTGGTTCCATCCAACGACGATCCCCACAGCGTCGCATCGACGCAGCAACGGAAGGCAAATAAGTATAACCAGTAAAAACAAAGTTTTTCACTATAAATCCTTTATATGCGTGGCGGCTAGAGTCCTCTCGTCCTCTGGCTTGAGATGGCTGCCACCTATGGGTCAGATGATTGTCTGCCAGTATTAAGCAATTGGTAATTAAATATTTAATTTGTTTTCCCTAAACAGTGTAAAATTTTGGAGAAAAAATTTTCACGAACATTAATTGTCTCGCACAACGAGTCTGTGCAAAATGTCAGCTCGATTGGATCACGGGAAGTGGGTTAAAAAACGACCGAAAGATTTGCACCGTCGTAAGCAAGCAAGCAAGCACGCAAGCACACTTAATATAAAGGATTTAAAAAAAGAAACCGGTTTTGAAACAAGCTACGCGGACGTGCCTCGCTTATTACATACTTGTGAATGAATTGTTGGAAAAAAAGCGCAATTAGATTTGGTGACGGAAATAACTTTACCTGGCATGAGTCAGCCAGCCATGAACGATTACACGGTTGAGTAATTCGGAAATTTCAACCGTTTTCCTTGATGGAAATTATCGTGTAGCGGTACACAGTCATCGAATTAACTCCATAAATGTCATTACACCAGCAACGGCAATTCGGAAATGTCAACTGTTTTTTTTTATGGAAATGCTAGAGGCGGTCTAGTGTGGGGGGGTGGTGCTGGGTCTGGATAAGGCATTCACTCGCCACTGATGTTAGCCGTGGCCACAAACCACACTCGCTTCCTCATAGCCCAGCGCCTGCCCCCCATGCCCCATGAGACCCAGTGGTGCAGCTGCACTGCCTGCACACTCGACACCTACGAAGCCTAAAACGCCTCGCCGGTTCCCCACTCCGCGCGTTACCCATCTCTCATACCCTCGCACCTTGCAACAAGGTCCTGTAGGCAAGCCGGCAGGATTCCTCCTGGAACACTTAAAATGTGATTTTTCTTTTCCCCCCCAAACTATATTCTGATTGCGCAATCAGCACGGGCACAACCGATGTATTTGGAAGGTGGAAGTCTCGCGGAGCCATGCTTTTGCAACCCTCCGTGCGATGAGAACGGCAAAACATTCCAAGATGCCCCCGACCTCGATGCAAGGGTGAACGTTCGTCGCGCAAAGAGTCAAACCGTCACATTATTCTGCGAGCTGGAAGATTTGCTGGTTTATCCCAGGATGTTTCTGTTGCGCGTCGTCGTTTTCAGATGTTCTCCGTTCATATTTTGTTTGTTGCGGTTGCACCCGACTCAAGAGCCGCATGGCTCACAGGGCTATACCTAATACATGCAACTTGAATGAGCCGGGTTGAAGTGCGGGAACCAAATTGATTGCGATGCGAGAGTTTTTTGTGCGGTCATTGGTGACCGACTTTGAGACGAAGCAACGTTCAATCGCAGGCAGATGTCAACCTGGATTCGAACGGAGGGATTTCACTGGGCGGGACGATGTCGCTGGCCTGGGAATGCCTCGGGATTCCCCAGGAAGAGCTCAAGTCTGTCGCCAGGGAAAGGGAGGTCTGGACGGCCCAACTCAACATGCTGCCGTGACCCTCAACAGGACAAGCGGAATGAGACACGGACGGATCTGTGGTGCATATTCTTGGTTCTTTCGGTAAAGTCACGTAGATAGAAAACAAAAATCTAAATTAAAAGCAAAAAACCCACGACGTTTCAATCGCTACACAAGCGGTCTTCTTCAGGTGGAGAGAAAAGAGGGGGCAAGCCTCCAATTGTAGCTGCTTATAAGTACCATCGCCTTAGAGAACTCTATTTCATGTGAGCCAGCCGCATAAAAGTAAAGATCAGCTACGGCAAGAGTATTGGTACTGACAAGTTTTAGTTTCTGCCTTGTGTTCACGAACACGGTCCGAGACATGTCGTTTGGTTTCCCCAATGTAACTGCTGCCGCAGGTACAGTTTAGTTTGTAGGCGCCGGGATATTGCATGTCAGGAATCTTGTCCTTCACAGATGGGATCAGGTCACGAATGTTGTGCAGTGTTAAATCGGACCTGGATCTTGTTTTTGTTAAAGATTTAGGAAATCTTTTTGGTTATCCCTGCTATGTAAGGTGACTATGTAAGGTAAGGTGATCTGTGGTGCAGCGGAGTGCTCCGACCTTCCAGCCATCCAGGGCCACATCCCTTGCAGAATTACTGGACAAAACTCCACAAAACTCCTCGACGGATCTGAAACTCCCGAGACCCCAGCAGCACGCACCGCCCAACCGTGCCCTATTCCATCGGTTTATTTTTAAATTATGAGCATCTTAAGACATCGTACAAGGCAAACGTTAATCTCTAAGTAAAGTCAAACATTTCGTTATCTAGACACCACCTTTATTTATATGGTGACAACCTGGTCTTACCGACGCCCCCCCCCCCCTCCCGACCTTTTCCTCCCCTACACAATAACCAAAATAGATCTGCCCCTTTCGACCCCCTCTACCGTTACATCGAGCCAACCCTGTGTGTGAACGATGACACCCCCACCCCCTACGCAACCCCCGCCACAGACCCCCCCCCCCCATCAACAATCGCACAGCTCTACAAAGCCCACAGTAATTGCGAGACCCAATGAGCAGAGGAATGGAGGCTGGGTGCGTTGGCGTTTCACTGCAGCACGCAGACTTTGTCGATCCCGTTGGGTTGCAAGGCGGCGTAGACGATGGTGGGGGAGGGAGAGCACTCGGCCTGCGCACCGCGCCATGCCGCTGTCCCGCGTCCTGCGACTTTGTGTTGTATCAAATATCGGACAAACGCAGCCGGAGAGAAGTTTTATTTAAAGCGTGGATTTCGGTAGATTCCACCACGACCGTCAATCGCACGTCCGCGTTCTGTACTGCGGTAGGGCCGCCCCCCCCCCATCACCACCATTCCCAAGCAAGGGCAGTCGGTGGTTGTGGGACGCAGATTCTCCTCCATCCCTTCTAATCCCACCCCCATTCCATCCCCTCCCCCTCTTTGCAGAGCAACGTTTGCCACCAAGGCCAGACACTCATTTACTCCTTTTTCCACTGCCACATCCGAGCAGACGCAGCGACCAGGGCTCTCACGGACCGGGTTGGGTTTTTCCACTGGCTATTTTCCCCGAGCCGAGCCGGAACACCAAGCAGCGATGTTGCTGCTTGCCTCACGAGACATCCGAATACGGATCGAGGCTGAGCAGGACCAAAGGGGGGTTGTGACGTCAGCTGGTACGCCGCGAGGACACGTGGTTACCGCACCGTCTAGGTGCTTCCCAATTGATTTGGTCCTCGGGATGCGAGGCAGTGGAAAAATAACCCGAGCTGCGCCAGGCTGGCGTGGCACGACACCTGCCGGATGACGCCAGGCTGGCGAGGCACGACCCTGGCGCAGCTCGATTGTGCCAGTGGAAAAAAACCATCACTCGCACCCGTCGACCCATCAGCCCCCCTTGCCAGCATTCCCTCCCATCTGCCCCGATCGGACGAACGGATGGACAGGCAGGCGGTGGCGTCTCGGAAATGGCGATTAAATCAACGGTAATCAACATGGCGTCTCTGAATTGTGTTCTCAACATTAGGTTCGTCTTTCGTCGGTAATGTTTACGATATAATATATTTATTTCATTTTAACTTTCGTTCCCCTCCCCCCACTTCCTCCCCCCCCCCCCCCCCCCATTGATGTACGACTGCTTGCTTGTTTTTTTTTTACTTTTCTCTCTATTTAATAAGTGGCCGGGACACGGTGGTTTAATGACTGGATGAAATGTACGTGGCTGGTGTTGCGATACAGCGGTCGGCGGAGCAAGCCCTGATAATGAGTGGCGGCACATGTGTTTTTTTAAATAAAACCAAAAAAAATAATGATAAGGCCAAGACTAAACGAATGAGAGAGAAACAAATATAACCCCCCTCCCGTGTGTTGTCAACTGGGTGCTGAGCGGGGGGGGGGGGGGGGGGGGCGGTGGGGGGGGGCGCCCTGTGGGGCAGTGGGCAGAGCCCGTGGGGGGAGGGGGGGGGAGAGGGGAGGGGCTAGGAGCCCAGGAGCCGCTCTATGGCGGCGTTGATATCTCCGCCCGTCGCTATCAGCGCCTGCAGGTTCGCGTCCCGGTTCACGAAGCCCATGGCCTGCAGTTGGTCCAGCTGCGAGCGGAACCGCACCTCGGGGCTCACGATGGCACCCCCGAGTGGCTGCACTCACACAAACAAAAGACAAAGGTCGCCCATGTAGCTTTGAACTGTCGGGGCAAGTGCTGTTAACGAGTAGCATTTAAAAAAAGGCCGACGTGGCGCACAAGGGGGGGGGGGGTGTGGGGTGCCCAGCACCACGCCAGGCCGCCTTTGTCTCCCCAGAACTGATGTTTACACATGGCACCGGGGTACTTCTTCAACGCTGTCGACCTAGGGGAGATCTCCAGGAACGATTCCCGGTCACAGCCACCATTGTCGTTGGCTGCGAGCGGGAATAAAATTTGGGTCACTGGGTTCTTAGCGCGCGCACACACAAACAAGATCGATGGAACTCTCCAGGCGCAGCGTTTTCGGGTTGCTACCGCATGCCATCCAAACAATGTAAGAAGCTGCTGGCACGTGAAATGAAACGTCGGACACCACGACAAACGGCACGCGGGGCGACCGGAAGACAGATCACGAGTTGTGTCGCACGACTCGCCGAACCTCCGCAATCGTGACCCTGCCATGTTTTTTGTAATCCATGCCAAGCGCGACCGACATGTTTAGATTTTCACCGACGGTAAAAATTTTTATGGATGTCGTATAAAACAGGCAAGCCTACATCAAGGCCTTGGTGACTTATACGCCCCCGATATTAAAAATTCTCAGAACTGGAACTTTAAGAGAAAAAACACACTTTCTGTGCAGTCACTGTTGACCGGGGCAGAGCCCATGAACTCACTACACTTGAGAACAAGGTTTTAAACAATAAAACTATTTAAAATATAAAATTTTTTACCAAGTAAGGCCCACTGAGCTGTACAGCTCTTTTTCAGAAGCGACCTGGCCACAAGTGATAGCTCAACTAAGCGGCTTATCACGTTGAAATTTCTAACAGCCAAATACTCTCAAAGCATGTTTCTAAATGTGGAGGGAAAAACCGAAGGACCTGGAGAAAAATCCACACAACCACGGAGAGTACATGCAGACTACAAATATACAGGCATCAGTCGGGATCGAACCCACGACCTCCTGTTTTATCAAGCGAGGTAGTTAACATTCGGCATTTAATCCCAGTCATCTGAAAACTGGATTGGAAACTCGCCAAAATACGTCGGTTTTGAGCCACAACGGCCATGAATTACGACCGTGTTGAGGTCTCCTTGGCTGTATCGCCTGCAGGCACTACACATCCCATGTATGATCAGTGGACTCCAGGCCTCGTAGCATTTATATTTCCTAACTTCGTGCATTGCACACGGAGATCCCTTGATGAACTGCGCCTTGTAACTGACAATTATTTTTACATGGGAATGAAACGTTATCTGCTTATTTAGATTGCTAGCTATATTCTCCACGAAGAAGCTAATGATTATTTTTCTGGCATTCACCGTTTACTTAGTTGCAAACATGAAAAAATTATTCGTTCGACAGCGCCCGTTGTTGGACAACCACGTGGTCCCAGACCGGGCGAGCCGCTACCACAAATGAAATAGGGGCTGATGACCATCTAACAGCGGCCATAAATAAAGGGGGCGTGGGAGTTATTCTGTGGCTAACCGCACAGCATCCTGCCTACGAGCTGCTACCGTAAAACCGTCACCGATTACCTTCGAAAACCAACGTGCGAAACCACACACGGCCGACAACAAAAGCGGTGTTACAACGCAGCGGAAAACGACGGATTTGCGACAACAACAACCGGCTCTCACCTGCGAGCTGCTGCTCATCCCCGCAAGTGCCTGCAGCATCTGCTGCATGAACTCCTGCTGCGCCGGAGTGGGAGCCTGCCCCAAGCCCAGGCCCGCCGCCGCCGTTCCAACGCCGCCCGTGCCTCCCCCCCCCAACGTTCCGCTGCCCCCCAACGTTCCGCCCGCCGTTCCCCCGGCGGCGGTGGTCGTGGCCGTGCCTCCGTCTGTCGCCTGTCCCGCTCGCCGGCGCTGCCGCCGACTCTGGCTGGGCACCGCCCCCCGGGACGGAGAGTGCCGCCCCCCCGACGCCGTCAAAGCTGCCCGGCACCAGCCTGCGTGGAGGACGGGGGGACGGGCGGGAGGGAAGGGCGCAGCATCAAGCGATGTGGCCGGCGAAACTTCAGAGACCTCTTTCTACCGCGCAAACAGAGCCCGCGTGCCGTGGACAGTGCCGAGTCAGCCTGGCGCGGTTCGGAAAGCTACCAGTGGACTTTTCTACCGCGGAAGCTGAGCCCGTTCCCAACATGTCCAAGTGAGTGATTGAAGGCGAGAAAATTTATCGATGCAGCAATGAAGTCGGTTTCACGTGCGGGAGCCCGACGCGGCGACGGCTCGGGGTGGCCTTTGTCCAGCAGTGAACTGATCATGGCTCCGATTAGCACGGTTGGCTACGTACGGTGCAAAATAAGTTGAACGTACGTACGTACGTATATACGTGGCTAACATTGATGTGTGTGCTGCTCTCTCACCCCGGCATGAGGCCTGGAACCTCGTTGGCGAGGACCTGCAGCCCCTGCTGGATCTGCATGAGCGCCATCATGGCGCGCGGGTTCGCGATGGCCGACATCACGTCCGGGTTCTGCATCTGTGTTGGGCGGAGCATGGGGGTGACGCGCACGGGGGTAGAGACACGCACGGGGGTAGAGACACGCACGGGGGTAGAGACACGCACGGGGAGAGACGCGCAAGGGGGGAGAGACACACACGGGGGTAGAGACGCGCACGGGGGTAGAGACACGCACGGGGAGAGACACGCACGGGGGTAGAGACACGCACGGGGGTAGAGACACGCACGGGGGTAGAGACACGCACGGGGGTAGAGACACGCACGGGGAGAGACGCGCAAGGGGGGAGAGACGCACACGGGGAGGGACACAGGGAAAAACACACATGGGGAGACATATGATGGTTTGAGCAATGGCATTGTGTTCCCTGCCCCCATACGCAGTGAGTTGCATTTGAGCATGGCTAGGATACCGGTCTAGTAGACACGAATATCTGTCCACGATTACCAACTTTAAGGTAGCTGATGTAGCGTCCAGCTTAATTTGCATACAAATGGAATAGGATGGCGATCGGGGTTAGGCTGCCCCTGCGGGAATCACGAGCTCTGGCGTTTTGAGACCAACTGCCTTTAGACTGAAATTGGAATTCACATATAATTTGAATGAATTACAATAAATTATTACAGGTGTAGAGGAGTAAAATGGGGACGTGACGTCATGTGTGCCGTTCAGTGCGATGACGTCACGTCTCCTAGAGTACTTCAGGGAGACCCCGTGACGAAAGCGGGGTCACTGCGAGAACGGGTAGAATAAGAAGGGTGAAGAGGGAACCAGGGGTAGAGGGATCGAGTAGTGAGTCTGGGGAGAAGCCGGTGGTAGCCGATAGAGGTGCTTTCTCTCCGGTCGGTGGAGTCGGCAGAGTCCCCGATCCGACACGAGAGAGAGAGAGACCGGAGCTAGCCAGCAGGGACCCGGACTCAGAGTAGGACCCCTAGCCCCTGGGAGTTGTGTACCCTTGTGTGTAAAGTGGAAGTCTGTAATAAACCCTTGGCGAAAGCCCATAACTTACCTCCGTCTCCGAGTGCGTCCGTGGGAACTCCTCAACACAGGCATGCACCAACCAATATTGCATAACATGTGCATCGTATAACTATCAAATGCAATCAGATACAAGTTATTGAACCAGGTGACAACCCAGTGAGACCTGGGCTAATGTATACAGTCGACGAATCATGCAGTGTGAGCAGCGTCGCGCATTCGCACGTGCGGAGGTAACCCACAAAAGGCCCACGTGCAAAGAACCCCAATCGTCGCCGCTTATAAAACACGTCTAGCAGTCAAACGTGGCTCGTGCGGCTGCTTACGGAGCAGTGTGCCTGCCGCACGAGAAAGTAACGAGGCACAGGCTGGGGGGGGGAGGTAGGGACACAGCCATCCTCACACCTGCTGTAGGAACACGGGGAGCTGCGTCCTCATGTGCTCTCTGAGTTGCGGGTTCCCTTCGAAGATGGGGCTCGTTAGGAACACCTGGCAGGTTCAAGGGAACAAGGTGGGGAGAGACACGTAGAATACAATCTCGCTTGCCCAGCCTCGCCCGTGACACCACTTCTCTTTAAGATACGGCAAGATATCAAATTTCGCGACGTGACGTTAATCTCTATAATATCGGTTTCGCCCGCAACTCGTCGGGGGGTTTTATCAACGTCAGTTTCGTAAATCAAAATATACATTCGCACCTCCATAAGAGGTTTTTTTTCGGGTTAGATCGCATAAATGCGTCGTCCAAACCCGCCACCACCCGACACAGCCGAATAGTAAGGTTTGTCCCTTTTAACACGTAGGCTTTCGCGACCAGTATTATTCATAATATAGGTTTTTGGGTCAGATCGCGTTATTTATAAATGTGTCGTAACCCTCCACCACCCGACACGGCCAAACAGTACAAAATGTGTCACGTTTTTCAAAGGACAAAAGCCTATATCATGAGTATTATGAAGGTTTGTCCCGTCAACAAAACGTGCCAATTCGTTACTACATCAGCACACCGGTGCGTTGGAAGAGTGACGAAGAGGCGTGTGACCGTCGGTGAGCGAGTGGCCGAATCGAATCGGCGAGCGTTGTATCATCAATCACCCGAACCGTTTCACGTCGAGTTTCTTTCGGGTGCCAGTGAGATAGGAACTGGGGGTGGCTCCGCTCCAGATATGACGGCAGGATTCCAACTTGAGCTACATTTGTGATTAGACGGTCGCAAGAGTGCCGTTGTGTATTTGAAACGTTAAAAACTCAAGTTTAATTTACCATCAGAGGGAAAGAGAGGTGCAGGGGTAATCACACCTTGCCCCCCGCTGCATGGGTAGGTCGGGAGCTTCATAAAATTGCGCTATGATCTACCAACCCTCACCTCCAAAGTGCTCCATTACAGGCATGTGCCACCAGCATATGTACGGACGTGCGTGCGGCTGTGCGTACGGTCGTGCGTGTGCGTGTGATCGTATGTATGGTTGTGCGTGCGTGCGTGCGGCCATAGTTACGTACGGCGGATGTGCGTGCGGTCGTACGTACGCTTGTGTGTGCGATTGTCCATACGGTTGCGTGCGTGCGTGTGTGCAAACGCGTGTGGCCGTGTAAACGCGTGCAACTGCCGCCAGGTGCGTACCTGCTCAGCGAGCGAGGGGTTCAGGGCGAGCGCCTGTAGCATCGCGGGCATGTACGGCGCCGACATCATGTTCTGCATGAGCTGGGGGTTCGCCGCAACCTGCCTCATCACGCCTCCTGGGATCACCAGCATCGCTGCCACACGCGCGCACACACGCACACGCACACCAGACGCACACGCGCACGCACGGGGAACAAAGACGCCCTCCGTTTAGCCGTGCGGACCTGCTGCAACATGCGCCGTTAGCGACTGACAATTAACGGGAGGCCCCCGACTTACGGCGGCATGTACGCCCCCCCCAACTCTCGCGCCCCACCACAGCCACTTTTATCTCCCCCTGGTGGTGATGGTGGTGAAACCGTGGGACGCGGCGATACGAGAGACCGCTGCCACGCTGGTCAGCGTGGGTTCGGTGATGGTTTGGGACGATAAGAGAGTACGACAACGCATTTTGCTACACCGCCCTCTGCTGCCCTCCAGGTAGAACTGCAGTCCACACAAGGTGATCGCCGTCGCAGCACTATCCAGGGCTCGACCGGCTTCCGCGATCCGACGAGATCGGGCGATTATTATCATTTAAAAAAAGGCAAAGGTGCAGCGCTGCAATTTCTAACTCACGCCACTGCTGGAGGAAGGGCCTCCAGTAGAGCGAGCTCCACGAGCCCATCTAGTAGGGCGTTATTGGGCCTACTCTCCCACGCTGGCCAGACTATATGTTCAAAGAGGTGAGAGTACTGCACTTAAAACTTTACCACAGCGCAACCCGCCGATCAAATTAACTGTGGTGAAGCTCATACCCACAGCTTGGTATACAGAGGGCGGCAGAGGCAGTGGGGCATTTTAAAAACTTGCCCCACGGCTTCAACTGCCACACCGGGGAGATAGAATCGAACCAGTGACATCTCGGTCGCGAGCAAAATATGCCACTCACCATCACACTGCTGTGGCAGCAGCATCCCTTAGTGCCGCATCGTCGTCATCAAAATCAGAATATTTATTTATACTGGAGGAATCCGATGAGCTATAAAGCTCTTTTTCACAGATGTCAGGTCAGGGCACGGGGTCAGAACGTTACAGGAACAAACAATAGAAAAACAAGACTCAAGATTTGTTCAAAAGCGTGTCCCTCTTACTTCCTGTCATCCTAAAATCCGTAACCATCCCCGCCCTTCCCCTGGCTACCATAAATGATCATAAATAACAGCGTGAGTAAAACGCCGGCGCCACCGACCGGGATGGATGCCCAGCGGGTTGGAGACGCTGGGCGTCGCGCCGGGCGTCTGCTGCTGGAGGAGCGGCGAGGCGGGCGAGGCGGAGCCGGGCCGTGGCGACAGCGCCGGCCCCCACGGGTTGGGCAGCGGCTCGCGGTTCTCCGTGCGCGACGGTTGCCCCTCGGCGTTGCCGCCGCCTGGCGCCGTGCCTCCCGTTCCTCCCGAGCCCGCGTTGCCGCCGGGGCCGCTGAGCAGCGAGGCGAACGGGTTCCCTCCGAACTGCGGAGGGGGCGGAGAGATGGTGCGGGGGGGGTGGGGAGTGATGCAGAGAGATTGATGGATAAAGAGGCGGATCGTTACCGTGCGGGGCTGTAGACGGTTGTCTTCCTTCTCGTGGTGGCTCCCCCGCCCCCCACCTGTTACGTCTTTTCGTGTCACCTTAAAACGCAACTAATGTACCGTAACTCTGCGTCGAAATGGACGTCGTCAATTCTAATTCAAGAAAATAAATAAATGGTTCGTTCCTGAATTCCCCGGTTAATTGAAAAAGGCGTACACACCGCATCTCAGCGCTACCATTCTATTGCTCCTGCTGCAGCCAAGCCAAGGGGACCCCCAGCCCCCTAGTGGCAGCTGTCCATGCACATCAGAAGGTGCACCGGACTGCCCTGTCCTCATGCTAGCCTGAGAAAACGTTCTGTCGTTGCGTTTGTTAATTTCGCACGATGCACTACCAGACCTGCAGCTGCGTCAAGTAGTTAACTGTGCGACACCTCCTGAATCAACTGCATCAACCGAGTCGCCTCCACCACTCACATTACCCTTGACACCAGCTGAATCATCTGCCCCAATTGCATTCATCCCTCTCTTACGCTTATGTAGTGGCATAGCGCCGGCTGCTGGCGGAAAAGGATAACTGTGGTGTACGGCAGTACTCACGTCAGCAGGCCACGATATATACGAGAGGGGGACATCTAAAGTGGAAAGGTCACAGAAGGGGTCCATCGGGAAACCCCGGGGACACGCTAGTAGGTTCCAGAAAGGGGGCGTGGCCGGGGGTGGAGCAAGGCCACGCTGGGAGTATAAGAGGCCCCCCCCCCCCCTCTGTGCGGGACCTCGTGGATGTTGCTGGAAGTGGGATCCCCAACGTACTACTCAAGATCATCGTCGTCACCATCTCGTCGTCGTCATCGCCATCTCCTCGTCGTCGTCTCCGTCTTCACCACCCCGGGGCGCTGTTAGTCAGACGGCCTACCAACTCTTCTAACCAAGTAGTGCCGCCAGCAATAGACGGTCTTAATAATAAGTGCGCACCCACTTGGGTGTGTGTTATCCCGATGGTCCTTGTTAAATAAAAGAAGTGCATCCAGTTATTACGGTCTCCGAGTTGAGTCACTACACTCATATTTGTCCCCTGCACATCATTGAGATCAAACTTCATTGCCTCAACTCTACGCATCACCTGAATCAACTGCATTACCTGAGTCAACACAGGGTTGTTGCTATTACTGTTGCTAACGTTTGGCCGTTGATATTGAATACATGAGCAGTTCACTGGACAAAGGCTCCTCTCTCTATTAGTCCGGCCAGCCAGGGTTTTTACTGCATTTTAAAGTACAATCGCAGCACGTGATATTATCACGAACCATTAGCTGCAGCACTTGCATTGCTCGTTAACATCCCTCCGCATCCCTTACCCCCCCTCCCTCCCCACCGCCCACTCCCACCCCCCTCCCCGCCACCACCCCCTCCCCCCTGTGTCGTCACCTGCTCCTGCGCGGCGCTCAGCATGGGCTCCTGGATGTCGGTGTACATACGGCGCAGCGCGTTGTACCCGCCGGGGATGCTTTCCAGGTTGCTGAGCGCGCGGTCCTGGTTTCGCATCATTTCCTGCATCATGGCCGGGTTGCGCGCCAGTTCCATCGTCTGCGCAGACGCACGCACGGAAAGATGAACAGACAAACGCAGGCATGCACAGAAGAACAGGACACGGACGCATGCGCGCAAATGACGTGCGGATGGATGGACGGACGCACGGAAACGTATGGAGGCATGCAGGCAGACACGCGCGCGCACACACACACACGGCACACATACGTATACACACAGGCATATACATGGACACATGCACAGACACAAAAAAGAGATGGACACAGATGATGACATCCACAGACACAAGGGCAGATAAAAGCAGAAACACACACAAACACGAGGGCATACACACACACATACGGACGTACAGTCAAATGCACACACGGAGAGACAGACAAGCGGTTACAATGATCGGGAAACCCACGCTGAGACACGGATGTGTATTGCACAAATGGGGCAGCGAGAAGGTACAGCGAGGTCCTCTAAATACCGGGCGACTTCAGCGGCAGGGTGTCCTGATATATCCTTTTAATCTCATAAGAACCTCGTTATTTCCATGAAGACCAAGCTCATTACCCGCATGACCACTGGGAGTATTAGCACTACCAACACCATTACCAGCATCGCCTCCAACCCCGCAACGGTTTCAAACTCACCCCGAGGGACCTGCGGGGTCGGCAACCCGCCTGCTGTACTGCGTCTCACCTGCCGCAGCAGCTCGGGGTTGTTGAGCATGTGCGTGATCTCGGGGTTGCGCTCCATTAGCTGCTGCATCTGTGGGTTGGTCATGATGAGCTGCCTCATCATCTCCGGGTTGCTGATCATCGTCTGCACAAAGGGGTTCTCCATGACCTGCAGTGGTATAAGGTGGGTTTGTGGGGGGGTGGGGGGAGGAGGCGTGGGGAAGGGGGTGGAGAGCACGAGGCATGTAGTTGAGTGCCACGGTGAGGGGTGCTACGGTGGCTAGATGTTAACTACCTCGCCTGGTATGCAAGCGGTCATGTGTTCGATCCCGAGTTTGCGTGTCTCTCTCGCTGTGGTCGTGTGGATTAGGGTTTTGTTTATAGTGCGATACAGCAAAACAATTCTGAACAACACAGTGGCACGGTTACAAACAGAAGGATGGCATGATTCCAATCATACCTTGCATGCATGTCATGTTTTTCTTTTTGAAACAGTTGCTAGGCACAGGCCCAAGGGCCCAAAACGTCAAGCGGCCAGCAACAAGCGGCACAATAAAAGTGGTTAGCAGATAATTAAGAAGAGACAGACTTCTTGAGTTGAGCAACGTTATTATTATTACAATTACAAGAACCTGGGGGGGGGGAGAGGCGATCGGAGGGGATTTCCCAAGTGAAGCAGTACCAGGGAAGAAGCGGAAAGAGAAGCGTGGTGAGCGAGTAGTTGAGTGAGAGTGAGTGAGTGAGCAGGTAAGTGGCTGGGTGAGTGTGGTGCTTGAACACATCTTGTTTATGTCATTTATTGTGAAAATTCCGTCACAGTTCCTATGATCACCGTTTCATTGCTTTCATGGCTTTATTTTGGTGATTTCGAAAAGTGTATTGGTTTGGCCATGTTTGTTTGTTGTAGTACAGAGTTAGACTGATGGCCTTAATCTAAGTTGTCTTGTTGTTGTTGTTGTTTGACTTGCATCCCACTGGGATTTTTGCACACAGCGTTGGTGTACAGTGTTTTTTCTGCAATATTTTGCTGTCTTTTCTTAGATTTTCTGTTTGCACTCAGTCACATATTCACTTTAAGATGTTTTTTTGTTCATGTTTTGTTTTTTGTTTGTTGCGGTTGCACCTGATTCAAGAGCCGAATGGCTCACAGGGCTATACCTAATAAATTAACTTGAACTTGAAGACAGCATGGATGAGGCGAAAAGGTCCGTCTGGTTGACCCGAGTCAACAACATCATGGGGTAGAGGAACCAAAGAGCGAAGTTCACTGGAACAGTGACCATGGTGGTAGTCGTAGTAGCAATAGAAGAGTGATAGGAGTGAAGTAGATGTAACCACCACATTGCTTGTACAATGTTGCTCAGCCTTATGGTGGTGACCGTGTGGAGGTAACATTCACCAGGTGAGTGGAGTTTAGTTCGGCATTGTGAGCCGCAAGAGCCATGGGGCCAGCCAGGGGCAGGGATTCAAACCTGGCTGAGCAGCTCGGGGTTGGACATGAGCTGGCGCTGCATCTGCTGCTGCATCTCCATGAAGTTGGAAGAGCCGACGCCGAGGTTACTGAGGCTGGCGAGACCACCGAGGTTCCCCCCTGCACCACCACGGACAGCGAGGGCACAGTCAGTGCGTGAACGCGTGAACCTCATGAATTTCATTCGCTCAGTCCCTTCCGCCCACAATGAGGGGGCACGACAACTCTCGAAAGGACAACGCGAAGCAAATTAAACGTTAGCACAAAGTTAAGTCGCAAGTGAGGATTAGTGTAGGGGAAGCCTGCGCCAGTCAGAAGAAGCGAGGTGACCTCGGGTGACACTAGCAAGCGCCATCCTGACAAGTCCCCCATGATGAAGCACAAGCGTCCGAGTTGTGGGAAGATCTGGCTTGCTCGCTCATCAACGGAAGCACCCCGACAAACTGGTCAATGAAGATGGAGGAGTCATCACCTAATGGGATGGACAGTGATGACAATTAACGGCTTAGCGTATTGAAAAATTGGCCAAAATATATCAAAAGGGGGTGAACCAAAACTGGCAGAGAACACTGGAGCGTGAAGGAGCCAACACCACAGCATCCTGGCCACTCCGGACGAGCCAAAACACCACCGCCGCCAAACCATTCAATCGCACCACTCCACTCAATCACACAGCCACACAGCACTGCCACACCACTCCACTCACCGAGGAAGAATGGCGGCAGGCCGGGAAGCGGCTGTGTGGGGGGTGGTGCGGTGGTGCTGCTGCTGCTGCTGCTGCTGGAGCCTGTGGAGGTGGGTGTGGTGCTGGCGCCCGAGGAGGTCGCCGCCGGCTGTGACGCCGGCTCCTGTGATCTGGGGGTCACAGATGGGGAGAGGGACCAGCGGGGGTTGTTGATGGGGGGGGCAGGGGGTGTCAGAGTTTCAGCAGTGGCAGAGAAGTGATCTTTCTGTTGTTGTTGCTGTTGCATTTGTTTTCCACGTGGATTCTTGAAACGAGCCATGCTGGATTCATCACCACGAGCCTTCTCCGTTATAAAACTCAACAGTTTAACCTACTCACGCCGGCTTGTGTCCGCCCTCAGTCGGGCATATTTGCGGAATACACCACGCCGCCGTTGACCCTGCAGCCATTGACCGAGCAACCCAACGTTCTTACCAGCTCCCTCCGCAGGAATATGTTAATTGAGCCAACTATTGCATTATAATTGACAGTCAACTGTATTGTATTGTAATTGAGAGCCAATTGTATTGTAATTGAGAGCCAATTGTATTGTAATTGAGAGCCAATTGTATTGTAATTGAGAGCCGACTGTATTGCATTGTAATTGAGTCAACTCCTATTGCATTACAATTGAAAGCCAACTGTATTGTATTGTAATGAAATAGCCTTGGCTGCGAGCCACTGCCAGGCTTTCCGTGACCCCGGGGCCATCCAGCGAACGTGCGCTCCCAGTATTAATTTAGTCAGCAATTTTTTGTATTATTTTACTCGGTCTAAATACAGCAACCAGTGGAATTCTAGTCGAGTCTCATTCTATTAGTATCATCAACTACAGCAGTCACTTATTTAGTCAAAGCGGAGTTATTCAACACGTTGATGCGACAGGCCGCTCAATATCCCCCAATATTACCAGGTCAGCCAATCAGAAAATCTTTTTTTTACATACAGTACTCTCGATTTATCCACGTGTGGTTTATCCTGATTTCTGGATGAGCCGCACGCACATCAGATTTTGACATGTATTAATAACTCACGGGTGTTTCCCTTCAGCCCAAATTATTAATATAAAAACAGTTATACATTGTTATTCTTGAAAATGTGAATGACAAGTCACATGCTTAAACCTAACAAATATGTGCTGCGGTTAATCCAAAATCCACGTTGATCGCCTCAATAGTAAAGTAGTTGCATATCTTTACAACAGTTTGATTTATGTTGATTGCCATGGTTCTGCTACCCAATTCGTCGAGTCTTCTGCGAGGGAGCAGGAAAGTGTTATCATCATCACGCGCATCGATCGGTCGATCGTGAGTATTCGTTCTTAATTTATAGAGATCCGCAGAAAATTTTTATTTTTGTTCTAGATTTGAAGCTTTCGTGACTGCAAGGATTCATACTCTTAGGTTTTTTCGGTAAAGTCACGTAGGTAAAAAATAAAATTAAAAGTTAATAAAATAATGGAAATAAAATAAAATAATAAATCACGCCGTTTCGGAGGCAACACAAGTCTCCGTCATCAGGTGGGACCGTCACAGCTAAAATGACTGCATCAAGGGTAATTTTGATGCAGTAATTTTAACTTTTAATTTAATTTTTTACCTACGTGACTTTATATTTCTGGATTATCTGCAATTTTGAATAATCCGCGGCCGTCCTCCCCGTCATGAGAGCGGACAATCAAGTCTACTGTACATACATATGGTTAATGATCACATTTGGCCTTCTTGAGTGCACCGCGGTCTCGAACAATGTCGCTGAATAATCTCAAAGTCTTTATCAGGACCCGCTAATTCCATATTGTCACAGCCAGTCATGCTTTTGTCTTTGACGGAGTAGGCAGGTCGCCGTCGATGAAGAATTTTCATCGCTCATCGTCGTTTAAAAGCGAAACGCTACGCCGCCGCGCGGGTTACCCACCTGCCCTGCGTCTTGATGACCAGGTGAACTGTGAGACCGTCCTTCACGCCGTTCTGGCTCAGCGAGTCCGGATCCTTGAGGATCTTCCCCGCGAAGATGAGCACCAGCTGATCGGGCTGAGCCTTGAATCGCTTCGAGATCTCCTCCTTGAACTGAATGTGCACGGGGGGAGGAGCAAGAGGCCGGCAATGTTTTTGTTATTCTACGTTTGTCTTTAGCCCAATTCTATCTCGACTGTGCTACGGATTGTCATGTCGAAGAATTCATTCGGATCTCTCGCAGAAGCTGCACACCCCTTGGAGATTCATTTAAGCGAATTGTGGTCCACGCAGTCAAGGCCAGCACTCCCCCACCCACTCTGCTCCTGAATAGTAATGTTTTAAATATTCTTAACAGCTGGAATTTAGCCAAACTAAGTGCACAATTAAAACTCCACGAATATAAAGTATTTCGAGGTGTCAGGCTTCGTGACTCCGGCCAGCCATTATCAGCCAGCACCTTTCAAACCCTGAGCCACCTGGGCGTTTCCAAGAGGCCCTCTTTTAACACGATTAAGAATCCAAGGGACCAGCATTGTTGAGTGTGTGGAGAGCAGGAACACAGTCCTGCAGGTGTCAGTGTCCCACAGGTTGGGTCTTGTGGTGCGCGACCGTCACCCGGTGCTTTGGAGGCAAGGGTTGGTGAGTCATACGGAGCTTTACGAAACTCCCAAATCCACGAGGATGCGGTTCGTCAACTGGCGGCCCACAGGGCGCACTCAGGGGTAAGGTTTGCCGAGATGAAAAGACGTACAGACGAGTGAGATGAAACAGAGTCAAACAAGAGATAGGGATGAGAGAGAGCTGTCGACAAAATATAAAGAAGCCTAAAGTGAGATAAACACGAGCCACAAATTGTTGGTAACGTGCATGGATGGTATGACATCTAATGGTGCTGTGAAGTCAAAGAGTCTGTACAGAGACACTATGATGTTAAGACACGGCACGAAGCATGACATCACGTGTCGCAGCAGCTTGCACTAATTTTATTGGTAAAATATATTATTGGAAGACGCCTGCACTAGGAAACAGTGCTTATGAGATGTGTTATCCCCACAGCCAAAAGAGGTTTGTATGTATGAGAACTTCTTTCGCACCGTATGTAGCCAGCCGTGCTAATTGAAGGTGCGGGTTTTCCTACCGACTCGAGTTTTCCTCCAACATGCAAAACGCTACTTACAAAGGAATATCCGAAACATCCGAGTGATCCACAATTGATTTGTGTCAGATGGCATAAGTCAAATGTGGGTCGTAAATCCTCCTCCACCTGAAACACCCAATCAGCAGAGCTGCTGGGTGAACAAACGTGCCGATTTGCGTCCGCTTCAGCACATGACCGGTGTGCTGTACAGCGATCCACGCACATTGAACTATTTGTGTTGGGCTGAGGAGGGTCTACGACACACATTTTACTTCTGTAATCAGACCCAGCAATCAATTACAAATAGTAAATATTGGTCGTGAAGGCCTACGTGTTCAATCGGGAAAAGTCAACCTGAAAACGCGTATGAAAGAGTTAATGTATGAAGAGTTAACTAGATTTCTCAGATAAATAAAAATAAATATGTTACATTGAAGTCTCTCAACTCGAGCCAAGACCGACACCAACGAAAACAACCGAGTGCAAGCGTGGCATGCAAATAAGATAGGCGTGCCCGATTTTCTGGATCATCTACTTAATAATCTGGTGTATTTTTGTCTGTATATATGTGTACGCATAACACCACCTAAATCGCTCTAGCAATTGAAACAAACGAGTTAGTTGCTCGAAAGTTTGTGATTTGGAAATGTACGCACGACGTCGAAATAGCAACAACAAAAAAACATCGACTTATCCGCTTTGTAATTTACAATAACTGCCACGTGATGGGAGTCCCGTTTTCAATAATCACACAACAGGATTGGCGAGCACCATTAATTACGGTTTAATCTCAACAGGCTTCCCACCAATTAGGCGAACATTGCACCACCAGCGGCACAAGTGACGCTCTCGTGACGTTGAGGTGAGGAGCGCGCGAGAAGCGGCTGGAATGTTCCCTGGCATCATCAACCCTGGGTCCAAGGTCTACTGACTGTAGCCCCCACCCTCCTCCCCACGTGCCTGCACCGATGCCACCGTAATGCCCCCGAGTTCCTCGTGCAACGCACGAGTCACAGAGGCAGAACGCCTCCAGAGCTCCCGTGCTTACCGGATGACTCATCATCATCAGCCATGATCAATCCCACTGATGGGCAAGGTCTCCCCCGAGCCGTTACCATCTCTCATGATAATCCGCCAAGCGCCTGCACCATTAGCTAAATTTTTTCTTGATCCATCCCCTAGGCGCGTACCCTCGGAGGAATTCCATTCCTCGCTTGCCGCTCCCCATCACTATTCTCGACCATCGGCCATCACCCCTTCTCGCCATGACGTGTCCTGTGCCCAAGCCCACCGACTTTTTTTCAATGTGTCAGTTCAGCAAGATCTGAACAACGCGACAGTCCGGGTGTTGTACGTAGCAGCGATGGCCATAGTTGTCCACTTCATACCCATGTAACGCCGACAACTGCGGTTGGTTTCTTTTTAAGCTTTATTCATAATCAAGTGCAAACGTAATTTGTAAACATCAATTATCGGTCTGCCGCACATTTTTTTCATGCCGAACTATGAAGGCAAAGGCTCAGCGCTGTGCGTGTGTATCTGCCTGATCGCATTAGCCAACGTGCTGACTGATGAGCCCATACACATACATAGACTTAGATGAGCAACTCAATACACTTGTATAGTGACCCATACACTTACATAGGCTTACATCTGCTAAGCCAAAAGCTTCATTATTTGCATAAGGTCAGTTGCTCAGATGTTCTCTCTCCATGTGCTTCTATTCTGTGCCTCTACGCTCGTTACATCCACTGTCCTCACCTCTCGTTCACACACATCCTGTCATCTCACCCTCGGTCTCCAACTCCTTCCTTCTGGTGCCTTCCCCAGAATGAAACTCAGATTCAACAACAGAGATAAGCGTAAATAACGAAGGTCGGCCACAATGCTCTGTTAGCAACATTTCCCAGTTGACTGCGACATAGACTCGCATTCAACGGTCAAGGCCTTTGAAAGTTTTAACTCTGTGAAAACAAAACTGATGCCCAATGCAGTAATGAAGAGGTCTCACAATTAACACCCACAGCAGATATACCCACTGACTGGAAACATGTTTTTATACAGAAATAGTGCGTGCTGGGATGAATGGAGTGCAGTCACCAACCCAATCTCTGGTTCACCAGGAGATCCAAACAAACTTCTTAAGACACCCATGTAGGTATGAGCATAGTCTTGTTCGCAAGAATACCTGGTCAACGTATAATTAACAAATGTGCCAGGATATGTTACCCTATGTTTTAAACAGCAGCTGGGTTATATAATGCAAGCTCCGAGAAATAAATGACTTTGCGTCCATGTCTATGCAACTCCTCTTATCCGTGAAAGGATGTGGATAATAAGGCCAACCTGGCACTTCCAGGAGATCAATTCTGGGTGATTTATCTGTGGATAAAAGTGGATATGATGAATTCACCACAACTTCCGGGTCACACCTCTTATCTGAAAACGGGAAGCATTCTTTAGCGGATATAATATTTTCTTGCATCGATTAGGATATGGATAACATAAATGACTTTATCGTCTACTCTGCGAGTTTAAGATCTCAGCTCGGTCACCAAATTGTTTCTCCATTTCATCCGGCTAAATTCCAGTGTTTGAGATTTAAAAAAAAAATATCGGTTAGTGCGACAGACTATATTCTTATGTGTTTTCGGTAAAGTCACGTAGGTAAAACATCAATAATAAAATAAAAATAAAGATCACGACGTTTCGGAGGCAACACAAGTCTCCGTCATCAGGTGGGACAGTCACAGCAAGATCAGCTGCATCAAGTGAGGCAATGATTCAAGATGTAATCCCTTAAAAGCGAGTTGAGGGGGGAGGAGAGGCTGGGGGGGGCTCATCAGAATGTGGTAGCCAATGAATGGAAAGTATCGGGAGAGAAGGGCCAAAAAGTTCACATTGCAGAGAAACAATGTCATAGGGGAACTTGACATTAGTCGTAATGACACTGGGGGCTCAAGACAATGGGGGGGGGGGGGGATGACTAGATGATTGCCAGTGTAATATTAGTCATCAGTTCTGACTTTTAAGACCGTCAAGCAGTTTTGAACGTTACATCACAACCACGGAAAACATTGTGAAACATTTAAAACGATTAAGAATTTTGATGTAAAGCGTTCGTGACTGCAAGGATTCATATTCTTGGTTCTTTCTGTAAAGTCACGTAGAAGGGAAATAATAAAATCGTCGTGAGAATTTTTTTTGTTTTATATTTTGATTATTTTATTATTTCCCTTCTACGTGACTTTACCGAAAGAACCAAAGATTATGATTAAGAATTAAAAAATTTGTCTATTCAAAGAGAACGGACGTGCAAGTGAGTGGCATTCTTCCGTGCGATTTTTTTTTGCGAGAGATTAAAACTCGACCACGTAAATTGCCCCCACCCCCACGTCAAAAAACACACAAACATATATTGATGTAAAATCTGGTAAACATATTTTATGATAAATCGAATGTTTGTTTCGGGACTAAAGGTAAACGCCGGTAGTCTTAAACAAGGCCCGGGCAGCGATTTCGATGCATTTCGAGTGCAAATACCCCCCACCCCCCAACAAAATTGTGACTTTTGTTTGACTGCAGGCATTAAAACGCAGATATAGCCTTGCAGGAGGCATTACATTAATCGACCTACGTTTAAATACACGTTTAAAATGTGTTTAGAAATAACCAAAATCGCGCCTATACGCGCTGAGGCCTACACGGCGAGGCCTGCGCTCGCCTAGTTCGACGCATAGCTTACGACTCGATATTGTCCTCTGAATAAACTACGTTAATCTACCTATTACAATTGCGACTTTAAAACCCCCACCACGAATACGTTAAGGCGGAACAATACAATGCGGGCGATGAATGTGAAGATGTTTAAATCGCGACGAATGTTTGTATGGTTATTTGGTGGTACAGTAATATATACTGTACTGTTAAACCACATTGCATCTGGATGCTTTTGATTGCTATCTTGGCAGCAACAATGGGCCGTCATCATAGCATAAATAATGTCCTTGACAGATAGTTATTTTAAAACTATACTTTACAGTATTAATTGCTAATAAAACACCGTATTCTCATAAGACCAGGGCCTCTCCCACGCCGTGCCAGTTCATGGGGGGGGGGGGTGTTTCACCATACTTCACCACCACGCTGATCAGTACGGGGGGGATATGTAAAGATTAAATGCCTTATCGCGACGTCCAACGTGGTGAAGTATGGTCGAATAACCCCCAAAAGGCCGGGGGCAAACGCTCATCCAGCGGTGGTTTGACAAAGAGGGCCCTACCCGCAACGTACGTGTATGAGAATGCGTTTGCATCATTTTTAAAACATCGGAAAATGACTGTAAAGGGGTTAAACGTCACAAACTACAGCGATCTAAAGGGTACGTCCAACGAAGATACAAATTTAGCGACGATTAAATCAGCTGGGAGGATTATATGGCAGCACTGCGAGAGATGGTGGTGGATTTAGGAAGGTTTTTATCCAGCAGTTTGATTGACCATGGCTGCTGTTGTTGTTGCTGATGATGATGATGGAAGCTTTAATTGTACAAGATGCAATTCAGTATAACAGAAGATGCGTTTAATGTCCTAACAATTCGCCCTTACAATGGGAATGCGGAATTCATCCCATATTGATAACCCTAAGAGCAAAGAACTTACATCAACTACTCACTTTACGTGGGGTCTTTAGACAATTACTAAACACTGATGTCGTTGAATTAGAAAAATCATTGCCCATGATATAATTGTTTCGGTTAGATCGCGTAAATATAAATGTTGTGTCGTTAAACCCGCGACAGCCAATTAATAAGGGTTTGTCACGTAAAGCAGAACGTGGCCAATTCGTTACTTAGTACAGCAACTAACCTGTGTGTTGGAGAGTAAACCCACAACATTTACAATTCAAGCGTGCTGTACTAGTAACGAATTGGCGTGGTTTTTTTTACGTGACAAGCTTTACGAATTGCCAGTGTCGGGTGGTGACAGGTTTAACGACACATTTTCGCAATGTCATCCAAAAAATTCTTATGGATATTGATCGCGAAAGACCTACGACTCTGTGTTAAACCTAGTCACTGCATGTTATTTGAAAAACACGTTTGTTGTTAACATCAGTACTGATAAACAATTATCAACACTACTATAGCGATTTTTTTTTCTGAACCAGTACTGATGATGAACGTAAAGTACTGTACGTGTTTAAAGAGGATATTTATGATAATTTACAGTAATCACTGGCATGCTATCAGTAACGAGCAGTGAGAATGTGTTTGGTTACGTGGACATTATGCGACTATTAAAACACTGCTGATGGTCACGAGTGGCATTAGTATTCATATAGTGTCACTGATGACCACCGTAGACTATTCAATTCAATGACTAACGTTAAACATAATGAACATGCGGATGACCAAATCACCCGGAATGTGTCCAATCTCGTAAAATATCTGAGCTATGCAAGCTTAGAACATTAATATTGCTCGTTTGTGTAACCATTATGCGCAACAGGTTGCTATCGTCTGCTTCGGGGCCACGTTGCGGGCAGTAGTGAGCAGTGTACAAAATGCAATTGTACTGTACTTCTATGCTCCCAACCTTCACACCAACACGTATTGACCAGCGTGGTGAAGTATGGTCAAACACCCTCATGACCAGCTCGGCGTTACGAAAGCATTCATCCAGGAGGAGATTTTGCAATATGTAAATGAGTGTCAATATTGAGCACACTCATTGAGACTCTACATTGCACAGGACAATGTTGTTATCAGCAGTGTTCGAATTTCAAACTCTCTCATTTACACTTCTAAACATTTATTACGGTCTTGTGATTCGTAACGGTGTTAGTAATAGGCACTTGAGCTCTTTGGAGTACTGTATGCAGGAAATGAAACAACGCTACGATTCAATGGGTGTTAAAATCAGTCAGGAACCAGCACAACATTCAATTACGCACATCACTGATGATATCCCGGCAGTGTTCCTGTGACTACAATCATAATTAATGTTCCATCAATGAGTGGGCCATACTTGACACGTTACCGTCGAGTGCATTGATTGACCACTTCTGCGTCTATCACGAGTCGTGATGCTGGTATAATTACTGCAGTACACTCATACACAGCCTAATTCTCACATTGCACATTTACCGGTGGCTGTCTACGCTGTGTTGTACGGAATCTCCATCCCTCCTCTATGCGTCTTGGTCTACAGCAGCGTGAATACCCCTGCATCTAGTGTACATCTCAGTCAATCCACTGCTGGATGAGGGCCTCTCCCACGCCGTGTCAGGGGTATTTGACCATACTTCACCACGCTGATCAGTACGGGGGGGGGGGAGGGTGGGATAGAGAAGGCAGCGATCATAGTCGAACAGTACAACAATTAAGTGTGTGCCCTCTATTACCGATCGCTTTGCAAGCACCACGTCGTGTGACACACCCAATTCTCCATGTTACTGTACTTTAACCACATATGCTATCAACAGACTATCATGCGTATGACTGCAGTTCAGTGACATCAAGAACATACAATAACCACTCTATCTTATTTAATGTAGCGGTCAGACTATAACAGTGACGTACCGTAGTGCCTAGCATTAAGTGTCCAGTCTTAATTCACACAATTGTGAAGCACTAACTGGTACTAGCAGCAGTGGTGATGATTGGTACCCAGGAAAGCCGCAGTCAGCCGTAGAACTCTGATGGTATTTATATGACAAGTGTTTTAAGCTAATTAGTGATGAGTTGTGTTGATTAAACACGTGGGTGGAAAACCCACGCCCCGCGAAAGGTCAATACTCTTGAGATCACCGGCGAATACGAATTCCTTCCCAAGCCTACTTGGAGAATCTATAAGTCGTTGTTCATTAGCCATGCGAATTCATCATCACCAAAGTCTACGCGAGCCACATGCAAACACTGTGAGTGGCCAATCTAATTAACGCTTCGTTCAACCTTCGCTGCTACCATGAGTCGTGATGTAAATAGTGCTTATTGCAATACACTACATTTCGATTTAAAGCTTTCGTGACTGCAGGGATTCATCTTCTTGGTTTTTTCGGTAAAGTCACGTAGAAGGGAAGTAATAAAATAATAAAACATAATAAATTAATTCTCACGAGAATTATTTTATGTTTTATTTTTATTATTTTATTACTTCCCTTCTACGTGACTTTACCGAAAAAAACAAGAAGATGCAATGCACTAATTAGTGCCAATTAACGCCGCTCTTGTTAAAGTTCACCAAGACAGCAAAACGTCGTGCCAGCAATGGGATGAGGGCACTTCGTTTAAACTATACAGTACTTAACCACGACCGACACTAATCATACTATTACTAGATCACCAGTAAACACCATGCACTGTATATTAATTAACACTAAAACGTGTTTATTAAAGCCCCAGGGGATGTTTTCACGATGACAGTGACACATGACAATGCACAGCATTGGGATGAGTGGCTTATCAAAGCCACCCAACACATAACCCACTGCTACTGTCAATAGTATTGCAGAATCAGTAACACAGACTCCCTCATTGACCCCTATCTCTCTCTCTCTACACATTAACCACTCGATCTTCGTAACGTAACCTGCATGCTAGGCACGTTTAGAATACCATAGTAACGTAAAGTGGTGGCATCCGCCCTGGGCCTAATTCACACTCTAACGCGACCGTCAACGATACTAGAACTGCTAAGGCGAGTAAGAAACACCATACCCAATGTAACAAACACCTTAAAGTCCCAACAATAAGCGCGTGTTAGTAGCGTGACGTGAACGCTGGGGCCTCGCGTTAATAGGGCCTATCGCACCCAACACTCAACCCCACGATTTATAAATCCCACAGAGTAACACGGCGGACGCGTCTACGAAACTCGTCTTGGTACGACAACGCAGCGCCAACAACACCAACAACAAGGCCACGGACACAGGCCACAGATACAGGCCACGGCTGTGTCACCCCGTAGGGGCATGCGGGCAGGCGGGCGCGGCACCGGGGCTACGAAGGGGAGGCCCGGACCCCGAAGGGGAGGCCCGGACCCCGATGCCGCCATGTCCCGCCGGTATCCGCCCCCGTCGCACGCACCTCCTTCACGGTGGACGAGGCTGCGATCACGAAGTCCTCCTTATCCTTGGGCGTCTTCACCGTCACGCGGATCTTGTCACCCTCCGCCATGGCGAGAGGGGAGGTTGCGTGCGTGCGTGAGTGGTGGTGGGTGGGTGGGGGGGGAAACCGGTGCCGATGAGAGCGAGCGGCGAGTGAAGGGAAGAGAGAGATGACGAGAGAGATGACGAGAGAGAGAGACAGACAGAGAGAGAGCCAAAGCGACTACCACCACCACCACCGTAGCCGCCACTGCAGAGCCACGGACCAACCGCCAGGGGACCAATCACAGGCGGCGACGAGCGTCACGTGACGGGCCGAGGCGAGTTGAAGTCCCCGGGCGTTCCATGTTGCGTGGGGGCAAGAGACATTTTAGTGCCGCATGGAGCGGAGGAGGAGAGCGGGTTTTTTTAAATTATTATTATTTTTAAAGGAATTATTGCACGTTTTTTTATTATTATTATACGTTTATTATTATTACACGTTTTTTATTATTATTACACATTTTTTATTATAATTTTTACACGTGTTTTATTAATATTACACGTTTTTTTATTATTACAAGCTTTTTATTATTATTACACCTTTTTTATTATTATTACACGTTTTTATTATTATACGCTTTTTATTATTATTACATGTTTTTATTATTATTACACGTTTTTTATTATTATAAGCTATTATTATTACACGTTTTTATTATTATTACACGTTTGTTTTTATTATTATACGCTTTTTATTATTACATGTTTTTATTATTATTACATATTTTTTATTATTATTAAAAAAAATTATATATATTATACGTTTTTTTATTATTATTACTTTTTTATTATTATACGCTTTTATTATTATTACACTTTTTATTATTATACGCTTTTTTATTATTATTACATGATTTTATTATTATTACACTTCTTTTTTATTATTATTACACGTTTTTTATTATTACACGTTTTTTATTATTATTACACGCTTTTTATTATTACACGCTTTTTATTATTATTACACACTTTTTATTATTATTACAAGCTTTTTTATTATTATACGCGTTTTATTATTATGACACGTTTTTTATTATTATACGCTTTTTTATTATTACATGTTTTTATTATTATTACGTTTTTTATTATTATTACACGTTTTATTATTATTATTACACGTTTTTTTATTATTATTACACGCTTTTTATTATTACATGCTTTTTATTATTATTACACACTTTTTATTATTATTACAAGCTTTTTTATTATACGCTTTTTATTATTATTACACGTTTTTTATTATTATACGCTTTTTATTATTATTACATGTTTTTATTATTATTACACGTTTTTTATTATTATTACACGCTTTTTATTATTACACGCTTTTTATTATTATTACACACTTTTTATTATTATTACAAGCTTTTTATTAACTCACTGTCTATTTTATCCTCAAATCTTGTAAGTTTATTTTTACCCACTTCCCAATGTGGTATCGACTGCAAATTTGGTATACTTACGTCATACTGGTGACAATACTATATTCTATCATTTAAAATAAAATAAAGATATTTTAAACAATATTTTTTATATGTTATGTTTCGGCTTGGGTCTAATTATCCACGCTCAACTGACGTTGGCTGTAAATCACCACGGTCCCTTACGTTATGGCAAGCCTCGGGGCCACTTGCCATTACTAGTACGGTACATTTCATTAAAGCGTGTTTTTAAAATAAGAACTGTATTTTTAAAATATTACTTATTATTTGGCTCTGGTCACCGCTTGCATTGAAAATCTTTGCCAACCCCCCCCCCCCCCCCCAATGGCGTCTCAAAAGGATGGAGCGGTAGCGTCGTCAGGCATCTTGGTAAGGGGTTTTGCAGGCTTCATAGTTGGGATTGAACATTATCATAATCATGTTTCGATTTAAAGCTTTTGGGACTGCAAGAATTAATATTCTTGGTTCTTTCGGTAAAGTCACCTAGAAGGGAAATAATAAAAATAAAACCAAAAAATGTTATTGTTTTATTAAAATAATAATACAATTTTATTAAAATAAAAATAATACAATTGTATTGTTTTTATTAAAATAAATTAAAATAAAAACAATATAATTGTATAGTTTTATAAAAATTAAAAACAGTTTTTTATTGTTTTCATTAAAATAAAAACAATAAAATAAAATTTTTATTCTAATAAAACCAATACAATTGTATTGTTTTATAAAAATAAAAATACAATTTTATTGTTTTATTATAATAATAGATTTATAAGGGCACGGGGTGACCAATGAGGTCTGAATTTGGTTTGTAATAAGTAGGGCACTGATAAGGAGTTGACAGGTATTAATCCGAAATGTAGAAATCATATATTTTGATTCATATTTGCTTAATTTTGGGTGGGATCGTTTGGGTATGTCACATTTAAACTATAACCCAACACCACCCGACAGAACAAATGAAATCGAGTTGTCACGTTGCGAAAATATGCCCTAATTGATTTGGTTTCTCAGCAAAACTAAAATGTTGAAAAGCTGAGCTTTCATTTTTAAATCCTTTATATTAAGTTCGCTTGCTTGTTTGCTTGCTTGCGTGCTTGCTTGCTTACGACCGTGCAAATCTTTCGGTCGTTTTTTAACCCACTTCCCGTGATCCAATCGAGCTGACATTTTGCACACAGACTCGTTGTGCGAGACAATTAATTTTGGTGAAATTTTTTTTCAAAAATGTTACACTGTTTAGGGAATTTTTTATTTATTTAATTACCAATTGCTTAATGCTGCCAGACAATCATCTGACCCATAGGTGGCAGCCATCTCAAGCCAGAGGACGAGAGGACTCTAGCCGCCACGCATATAAAGGATTTATAGTGAAAAACTTTGTTTTTACGGGTTATACTTATTTCTACGTGATTTCATTAGATTTGTCCGGTGGTGGAGGGGTATAGTCACCAAATATAAACTCATGAATTTGGTATTTTTTGAAACTCTAATCTCGTTGCAAAAATAATAACTCACAGACATCGTCAATCTGCTGGATGAGGGGCCCTCCCCACGCCATAAGGCTACAAAACACATCTAAATACCGAATCTGTAAAATATAACTCATCAAATTAATATTACTTAGGCAGTGATTGTTTAATGGGTACTGGTATCGTATCAAATTTGCGTTGCACTCAGAACCCATATCGTCGAGAGAAGGCCCTGGCCTCCAAACATCTGGCAGTGTCTCTGAATATTGATATTCAGTGTCTTTGAGACATTTTCAGTGTCTCTGAGACACTGAATATCGGAACAGGTCACACACACACAGAGTCATGTTGGCCTTGAATCAATGCTGCTGAGAAAGCATGCAACTCCCCGAAAGAAGACCGTGCAGCTGATGGATACGCATACCTGTCAACCCCTTATCAGTTGACCAACCTTATTATAGACCAATTCAGATCCTTATTGGTCACCCGGTGTCTTTAAAAATCTCAACGTTTATCCTACAAAGTCCCATCACAAGGGAGAAACACTATGTATTTATTTTTTTGCTGTATAGACCTGAAAACTCAATTTACCTGTACAAGAATACGGATAAACCGTATGGGTTGACACGGTATGGATACGTGAGCAGATAATGCTCATGAAGTTGCAGATTTTTAAAAAATTTCAAACAGATGCCTCATGCCCCACTGAAGATGGCTACAGCGAAGGCTTCAGGTTCTGCTAATGACGTCACCGCCGCTTGACGTTGCTTTAATCGTGTGTACAGCCAAAATCCACTTTTTTGTTGTAACAATACGATAAAAAAAATGTTTTTACTCAAAAGGAATGTCACCGGATGCGCAAACAAAACTGGATTCGATATTTCCGCATCAGAACTTGGGAGGCTAACCGGAAGTGGCCAGACCGCCATCTTACGTAGGGGGAGATGCGGACGGAAGCACGTGCCGAGTGGGGGTCTACAGGCACAATCACAATGATATCAATACAGCCTACAGGCACAATGATAATCCCAGCAATACAGCCTACAGGCACAATCATAGCCATACAGCCTACAGGAACCATCATAGCAATACAGCCTACAGGCACCATCATAATCACAGCAATACAGTCTACAGGCATCATCAGCAATACAGCCTACAGGCACCTTCATAATCACAGCAATACAGCCTACAGGCACCATCATAATCACAGCAATACAGCCCGCAGGCACCATCATAATAATAGCAATACAGCCTACAGGCACCTTCATAATAATAGCAATACAGCCTACAGGCACAATCATAATAATAGCAATGCAGCCTACAGGCACAATCATAATAATACAGCCTAGCCTACAGGCACAATGATAATCATAGCAATACAGACTACAGGCACCATCACAGCAATACAGCCTACAGGCACCATCACAGCAATACAGCCTACAGGCACAATGATAATCTCAGCAATACAGCCTACAGGCACAATGATAATCTCAGCAATACAGCCTACAGGCACACTGATAATCTCAGCAATACAGCCTACAGGCACACTGATAATCTCAGCAATACAGCCTACAGACACAATGATAATCTCAGCAATACAGCCTACAGGCACACTGATAATCTCAGCAATACAGCCTACAGGCACTATGATAATCTCAGCAATACAGCCTACAGGCACTATGATAATCTCAGCAATACAGCCTACAGGCACAATGATAATCTCAGCAATACAGCCTACAGGCACACTGATAATCTCAGCAATACAGCCTACAGGCACTATGATAATCTCAGCAATACAGCCTACAGGCACTATGATAATCTCAGCAATACAGCCTACAGGCACAATGATAATCTCAGCAATACAGCATACAGGCACACTGATAATCTCAGCAATACAGCCTACAGGCACACTGATAATCTCAGCAATACAGCCTACAGGCACAATGATAATCTCAGCAATACAGCCTACAGGCACAATGATAATCACAGCAATACAGCCTACAGGCACACTGATAATCACAGCAATACAGCCTACAGGCACACTGATAATCACAGCAATACAGCCTACAGGCACACTGATAATCACAGCAATACAGCCTACAGGCACAATGATAATCTCAGCAATACAGCCTACAGACACAATGATAATCTCAGCAATACAGCCTACAGACACAATGATAATCTCAGCAATACAGCCTACAGGCACAATCACAATCATAGCAATACAGCCTACAGACACAATCATAGCAATACAGCCTACAGACACAATGATAATCTCAGCAATACAGCCTACAGACACAATGATAATCTCAGCAATACAGCCTACAGGCACAATCACAATCATAGCAATACAGCCTACAGACACAATCATAGCAATACAGCCTACAGGCACCATCATAATAATAGCAATACAGCCTACAGGCACAATGATAATCCCAGCAATACAGCCTACAGGCACAATCACAATCATAGCAATACAGCCTACAGACACAATCATAGCAATACAGCCTACAGGCACCATCATAATAATAGCAATACAGCCTACAGGCACAATGATAATCCCAGCAATACAGCCTACAGGCACAATCACAATCATAGCAATACAGCCTACAGACACAATCATAGCAATACAGCCTCCAGGCACCATCATAATAATAGCAATACAGCCTACAGGCACAATGATAATCTGAGCAATACAGCCTACAGGCACAATCACAATCATAGCAATACAGCCTACAGGCACAATGATAATCCCAGCAATACAGCCTACAGGCACAATCATAATCAGCAATACAGCCTACAGGCACAATCATAATAATACAGCCTACAGGCACAATGATAATCCCAGCAATACAGCCTACAGGCACAATCATAATCACAGCAATACAGCCTACAGGCACAATCATAATAATACAGCCTACAGGCACCATCATAATCATAGCAATACAGCCTACGAGCACCATCATAATAATAGCAATACAGCCTACGGAATCCGATGAACTACAAAGCTCTATATCACAGATGTACTGTATAAGCGGATTAGAACGTTACAACAGTAAAAAAAACATTAATGTAGTGCAAAGTATAAGAAAGGTAAACAACTCACCCAAACACATGCAAATAAAACTAAACCATCCCCATCCTACCAAAGCCTACTGAGGTATTCACTTATTTTCAAAAGCGACCTGGCCACAAATGATAACTCAGCAAAGCGGCTCATCATGTGGACATTTATAACAGCAAAACAAGGCCGTAATAAAAAAAAATTACTCAAAATGTCCCCCCCAATATATTGCTATATAATAGGTTTCTGTTAATATGATTGTGGTTATGGTTGTACTTTAATGTAATCCCTAATCTCTGCCATTACATACAATGAAACAAGAAAAGAAAAAAACAGAGCAATGTAATACAATACACTATTAGACATTATTGTAAAACATAAATAAAAAGTCCATCACATGTGTTAGTGAATTTATAAATATTTTAGGCAGGAAATGGCAGGAAGTGAGTTTTAAAATTAATATTTGTTTCTGGGAGGGGGGGGGGGGACCCCCTGCTAGGTTTGGTCCCCCCCCAATGTTGACTCCATGGCTACGGTCTTGCAGCAAAATAATCTAAATAGTGTAAATACAGGCTTCATTTTGTCAGACGAACAGTGAAATTACATTTTAGACCATCGGTTTCAGATTTACATCTCGCCCTCCGCTCCGACGCATCCCTTATCTGAGTACCATTCACTTTTTGTCGTTCTCTGGTCTGACACTGATAAGACAGGGCCATAAAGAAGGCCGTCTCTGTTGTAGGACAATCAGTAAAAAAAAAAAACAATGCATATATTATCGGAGCAAGTTGGTTAGCGTGTTCACCATAAGTACTCTGTGTGTGGTTAATGCAGACTTGATTCCTTGCAAAAGGTTTCGACTTTGGTGTTTGAACATCTTGACACCTGTTTTATTGACAGAAAGGGTAGCACCTATTTTTATACTGGTAGGAACCCACTGGTTACACCAGCCCACAGGGGATTATTGTGTCCGTCCGTCCGTCGTGCAGGGAGGGGCTGGGTGGGGAGGGTGGGCAGGGGCTGGGTGGGCAGGGGCTGGGTGGGGAGGGTCGGGCTGGGTGGGGGGTGGGGCTGGGTGGGGGGTGGGGCTGGGTGGGGAGGGGCTGGTCACCCCGTGGTGCCCTTATAAAACTCAACGTTTAACCTACTCATTCCGGCTTGTGCCCGCCCTCACAGTCGGGCATATTTGCGGAATACACCACGCCGCCGTTGACCCTGGCCATTGACCGAGCAACCCAACGTTCCTACCAGCGTAGGATTTCGCGACCAATATAATCGATAATTATCGATTGTAAATGTTGTGGATTTGCTCTCCAACACACCGGTGTGCTGTACGAGTAACACATTGGCACGTTCTGTTTACGTGACAACCCTTACTAATTGGCTGTCGGGTGGTGGCGGGTTTAAAGACACATTTATGTTTACGCGACCTAACCCAAAAAACCTGTACTATGCTTATTTTTTCATACTCGAGGGCAGTGTCGGCTCGTGACATTTCCACTAAGCGGGGCTGTTGTGAGTGACCTCTGAAAATGCGGTGTTCTAATATATAAAAAAACCTCGTCATGTTATTGGCCTTCCCGTTGAAGTGATATAGCTGCCTTATCTACCCACGGTAGGCATTTATAAACAACTAGCGGGAAGTAGCCGGCGTTTCCCGGGCAAAAAGACACACACACATCGACTTACACACAGACATCGACCCACAAACACATCGACTTCCACACACACGTAGACTTACACAGACACATCGACCTACACACACACAAATAGGGCCCGACATTGATATTATACTTTCCTATATTAGAACTGCTTTTTGTGTTGTTTGTTGTCCTTTTCCCACACTTCCGATTAGCTCAGTTGGCTATGTAAAGGTGCGAAAGACGCTCAACATACATACAGGAAAAAAAAGCTTCGCTGGCACACACGTGCGTGGTGACATTGTGCGTGTGTGAAGTAGGGTCAAGCCACCGATAACTGACGTGGTATGGAGCCATTCATACAGCTGTGGATTGAAACGGCTTAAAATTATTTTAATCTGGATACCCTCCCATTGTTACGATCTTAAATACACTTGATATATAAAGGTAAAGACTGAAAACCTTGTCTGGAACACAATAAAAATGTTAAACCCTTAACCCAGAAACGAGCCACCGCGTGTTAATATTTTTCATAATGGTCCTTTAAATAAAGGGTTTGGTTTTGTGCGAGAGGAATCCAGGACAGCCACACTAAAATGGGGCGACACTGAGCACTCCTGGCCACCTCGCAGCCGAAGGCGACAGCATCCCGAATTCCAAGTCTCAAACTCGAGCACTGACCAGGTTTCATCATCTTAGCTTCGAAAATCTAACGAGATCGGCCAATTTATAACAACTTTTTAGTGTAAACATACAGTAAAAACGTTTAAAACAAGACACACAAGATAGAAAACGCAACACAACAAAATAATGAAAGACACTAGCAAGTGTTATTTATTTTTCATCGTTTAGAAACAAAAATGACATTTCATGTAATTTACCCAGAAAAACTTCAGAGTAAATAATCCTGGTCATGGGGGGGTCATGCTTTTAGAGGTTTGCCCAATTGGCCACAGTGTGTATTTCTGTTAGGGCTGTGTGGAGCGGTGGGGCAGCGGTTAGGCAACTGGCTTGAGTTCAATTCCTGGCCATGGCTAACATCAGTAGTGATATATAAACCAGTAGAGCCCCCACTCCTTTCAGCAACCTGTAGTCCCTTGTATATCTCTCGTCTCAAAACACATTCCTGCGGAGGGAGCTGGTAGGAACGTTGGGTTGCTCGGTCAATGGTTAGGGTCAACGGCGGCGTGGTGTATTCCACAAATATGCCCGACTGAGGGCGGGCACAAGCCGGCGTGAGTAGGTTAAACGTTGAGTTTTATAAGGGCACCACGGGGTGACCAGCCCCTCCCCACCCAGCCCCACCCCTCCCACCCTCCCCCACCCAGCCCCTCCCTACCCAGCCCCTCCCTGCACGACGGACGGATACAATAATCCCGTGGGCTGTTGGAACCAGTGGGTTCCTACCAGTATAACCTGAATCTCTCTTTGCCTCGGTGAGCCATATTTCTGTGGGTCATAGCTCGGTGTGCTTCGAGAATAGCCTTCTGGCTCATGGGCTGCCAGTTGAAAAACCTTGAATTGAAAATCCAGGCTCAAAGCAAGAATATATAGACTTCATTTCTAATTTTTCCATTAAAAGTGCGCTGGGTTGGTTTAGTTGCTGCCGGTTTTTGCTACCAGCAGGCGGATTGTGTTGAAAGACGGTCGAAAGTATGGCTCTGCATAAGCAAATGTGACAATTTCATTTTTACTTAACTGGGAATACCATATGTACTGTTACTACTCTTGGGCCCCGAATCGTGACAACCAAATCGTGGTTATCGGTGGGAAGCAATTGCTATACGCAGGGATTATTTTACCACCCAATATTTTCCGGGTCACTGGTAGACCATAGTAGGTGGCACATGACAAGTAGCCACAGCCATAGCAAGAAGTATAATGGATGTGGTATGTCAGCTACAAATATATTTTTTGGGCCGCTGAACCACAGAGAACCAGCTGAAATTAAGCCCTGCGTACAAAGCCTCATTGGAAGATATATTGTGGGGTGTACATACGTGATGAGATTCACGCCTGTGTGGGTTTTCACGGATTGTGCTGTACAGTTCTACGATGTTTTCAGGTTGTACTGCGATGTTCAGCGTGATGCCAAATGTTTTGCTCCACGTGCTGGGAGTTTTTAGTTCTTGGAAAAGCTCTCAGCACATGGTGCAAAAAACTTCAGCATCAAGGATAATAATAAAAAAAAATTCAAGTATAGTGGCTTTATGGTCTCGGCCCAGTTCTCCAATGACTGTGATTTGGCTGAATTTAAGCTCTGACAATTAAACCATATAATGGATTGTAAAAGCAACAACATTAACCGGCGATGACCCATTCTTGGGTTGTCAGCTCCATTTCCAACCTGCTTCCTGCATACAACGCAGTCATTTGTGAAGACACTGGTGGACCATGAACTGCATCAGAATATTAACAGGCCGCTGCAAACATTTTCATTCATGTAAAGTTAAAGACAAGTCACAGTGCGACTGTGGCCATGTAACCCAAACTATGGACCATGACATAACCACTGTCATCTGCGCTCCTCCAAGAAGGAATTGCAAAACTATGCCAACTGTCTCCTGAAGCCCTCTTGTGGCTAGCAGGCCTCGATGCAGGCATTTAGCTCCTGGACATGTTTCCACATGCAAGAATATAATAGAATTCGGTGAATGTTGTCTGCAACCACGTGCTTGCAGTTCCTAAACAAGTTCCTCGTACGCAGAGCCAAAGGCCGGAGATCACGCTGAACAACACGTGGTACAACCAGAAAACACACACGGGAGACATTCACTCTGCCGGCCCGTGCGTCTCAACGTCCATGATGAAGCTCTCGACGGCCTTCAGGTACGCAGGCTTCAGGTAGTCCTTCAGCTCGCGCCGCGTCACCCAGACGTGGCGCGGCCCCGCGGTGGCACCAGCATCAGCGACAGTGCCAGTGACATCACCGCCCAGCAGCACTGCCTTGAAGAAGAACACTTTGGCTCCAATGGCGCTGGGCTGACGCATGGCGACCGGGAACTTGTAGCGGTAGAACCCAAACGGTGCGTTTCCCATGAACTTAGCTTGCAGCCCAGAACCTGCGCCGCCACACATGGTCGTCATTAGCATCATCAACCATGGTCAATCCCGTTTCGAGATAAAAGCCTTCCCAAGCGATCGACATCTTTCATAGCCTTGAGACGTAACAATTCGCCTCGCACATTATAACAAGCCGATTTCATCACTCGCGGGCACGTTAAGTAGTATGGTTGTAGTGCAGCAGTGCTATGGTGATGGTGCGATGATGCCGTCGTGATGTGGTGGGCACAGTGAAGAATATGCAAGCGGTGCTATGATGATGGTGCGATGATGCTGCCGTGATGTGGTGGCGCAGTGAAGAATATGCAAGCGCTACAGCGGGCAGCTAGCTGTCACCCTCATCCCTCTAACAAGCTGATTTCATCACTCGTGGGCACGTTCAGTAATATGGTTGTAGTGCAGCGGTGCTATGATGATGGTGCAATGATGCTGCCGTGATGTGGTGGCGCAGTGAAGAATATGCGAGCGCTACAGCGGGCAGCTAGCTGCCCCCTCATCCCTCTATCTCACCCGCAGCGTCTCCGAGTGCTCTCTCAGCTGTGTCGCGTAGCGTCTCGCCCTCGTTCCACGCCACCTGCGGCAGGAGCCACACGTCCTCCTGACCCAGTCGCTGTTGCACTATCAGCACAAGCTTGTCGTCCAGGCGCCGCTCCAGCGATGTGCGGTCGTCACGAGTGTCTGCGTCTGCCCGTGGGGACACACACGCCCTGACCATTATAACATTAACCGTTATTACGTCTTACGGGAATAAACTACAGGAAATGTCAGAAGACATATAATAAAAAGTAGTGAATTATGTTTTGTATTACTAATTTTCTGCCCATTATACCAACTTAAATGACTAACATTTGTGCGGACAGGCCACCGCACGGTGAGTATTGGTTCTTAAATCATACGCTGTGCACGGCTCCTTTTCACATATTACACGGATGCACATTTAGGCATCGTTAACATTGGTGATAATCGCATACACAAAACCCGAAAATAATCATTAGGTTTTCATCACACATAGAAACGGCTTTCCAAAGTTCAACCCTGTACATGCATATATGTACCAAGACGCTGAAAAAGTAACGTGCTGCTTAGAGACTTGAATGAAAGAATGGGGTGGCAGGGGGTGGTGTTAAGTGAAATTGAGACGAAAGCTCAGGATCGGACAAGGCAGGGGGAGTTAGAGCCACTGAGCGGAGGGACTACCAGTGACTCTGGATCCGGGCTGGAACTGCTTGAGCCTCTGCTCGTACATGTCCTCCTTATCTTCGGCAGTCACGATGCCGGGCCGATCATCCTCGTCGTCCGAGTCCAACTCCTCGTTAGCCTGGCGCATCTGAATCCTCGCCGCATCCTCCACCAGCTGGATCTCGTGGTCGGACAGCGCGCTTCTCTCCAGCTCAATCTGCTGCACCAGCTCCCCGAACAGTTTCTCCTCCGCGCTCAGCTCTTGAGAAAGGCGCGGGTAGCGCTCCACGCACGCGGCCGCGAACAGCTTCCATTGCGGCGTCCCCGACGTCTCGGGACTCTGCGGCCTAGCGCCTCCCCGCCGTGAAATGCCACTCTTTCCCGCGGAGCCGCTAGGCGAGGCCGGTCCCGGTAGCCGAGCCCCACCGTGCACGGCGGCGCCCGCCGCGTAGGGACGCGACAGCGGCGGCAATAGCAGCCGGGACGAGGCGAGAGCGAGGCTCGGCCTCTGAGCTCGAGGCCACAGAGACGCGTAGCCCGCAGCGGACGATGACAGCCGTCGGGCTAGTGTGGTCAAGGGCGCCGCCATTGCTTGTGGCACCTGAGCACGCTGTTGCGGGGCGGCGATGACGATGCTCGTGACGCAATGAGGGCCGCGTGCAACACGGACGCCATCTTACGTAGGGGAGCGGTCGTATTGCATTGGGGCGGCGTCGGTTGCGTTGGGTGCGGGAATCTCTCCCCACGTAAGATGGCAGCCGCGGGCGTCTCGGAGTGTTGCGCCACGTTGGGAGGAATCCGATGAGCCCCCCAGGTTGACGGAACACAGCAAAACGACACCAACTCTTCTGCTGGAGCCCTCTCTCGCCCTGGTTTAACAGACCTCGACATTGGCACCGAGCTCATGAACACGTTGCTGCAGACATCATGCAACAAAATGCAACGCTGCCTTCAAAGCACAAATGTTAGGCAGATGTCCCGTCTGCATAGCAGATGAGTCATAAGGGCCATTGTCCAAAACCTCTGCTTTTGTTTCCTTTGAATGTGTTATTGACAAATGTGTTGTTGTGCTTTTATTTTTCCATAAGAGGCGGCTTTCCCATACACCGACATTCGCCACGAAGTGGCGGTGACGTCACCACGGCGCTTGTGCCAGGCTAGGTGCACGTTAAGGCCGATGCACCACCTGTGCCCCCCGACTCTGCCAACTTGCTGAGTTTTATCCGCCCGGCTCTCCGCTCGTTGTTGTGAGCGTCGTTACTCGGCCCTCCGTTGTTGCTGGAGGGCGCCTGCCCATAAACACCAAAATTCACCACTAAGTGACGGAGACGTCACCACGGCGCCTGTGCCAGGCTAGGTGCACTTTGAGGACACGTGAAGTGTCGAAGGCTCGCTGACAGGAGGTCTCGGGACAGACCCAGCAGGTGCCATGAGTTGGCTGACTGAGATGATTGGTAGATGCATCCCACTCTGCCAACTTGTTATATTTTATCGACCCAGCGCTCCACGCGTTGTTGTGAGCGTCGCTCCTCCGCCCTTCGTTGTCGTTGGAGGGCGACTGCCCTTATAAACCGACGGCACTCTGGACGAGTCGACTATTGGTGGTGGGGGGGTGTTTAGAAATGTTAAAGTCTAATAGTAAACAAATAATACAGTGAATCTAAGTGTGACGTTGTACTCTGCGAAACTATAATTGCTTTATGTAAACAATTGTATTATATAAACAAATCAAATAAAAACTTATCGTGACAACTTCACAAAAGTTGTATCTTTTTTTTTATTCCTGTCTGTAAAGTCACGTAGGTAAAATAATAATAAAATAATAAGAAATGAATGAAAATAACTAAATATAGTTATTAACTAAATATAGTTATTTTCATTAATAATAAATGAATGAAATTAACTAAATACTGTCTAGTTATTTTCATTTATTATTATTATATTATTATAACTAAATTGAGTAATTTTCATTTATTATTATTTTATTATTATAACTAAATTTAGTTATTTTCAGTTATTATTATTTTATTATTACAGTATATTTTTTTTACCTACGTGACTTTACCGAAAAAGTATGAATCCTTGCAGTCGCGAAAGCTTCAAATCTGGAATTATCCCTATCCGACTTGGTACATTCCTCGCCCGGGGGAGGTCACAAGGCGTGTGACACTGAACAGCGTGCAACCCCCAAAACCATTCACCAAACCAACAATCAAACCTGAGCCTGTCACAGAGGCACTCTCTCGCCGAATAAACAACGCCGACATGTTCACGCTGAGGAACTCCCTGCTCTGCTGCCGTCAATTGTCACGCACATGGCGCCTGCCCGCGCCCTTGACCCGGTAGGTCCCCTGTTTCCTAGCCGCTCTACCGACAAGCCTGAGCTAGGCCGCCCGCAGAGTGGGGCCGTGGCCTTCTCGGCGGTTGGAGCTCGACCCGAGTCTCCGGTGTTTTAAGTGTTTGTGAGATGTATTGAATTAAACGCCCCCCACCATCCCAGTCATGAGGTCCCGCCGCAGAGATGGAGCGCTGAAATCAGATCGACAGGCTTCGCGAGAGGCTGGCGGCGGACTCGTTGGAGGCTTTCATCCAGCAGTGGATTGACTACAGCTGATGACGATTAGGGACTGTGGGTGATGGAGCTTTGCCCACAAGGCCATCATTATAATTCATATCTTGGGGGGGGGGGGGGGACACCTCCCCCCCAATATTCAAATATGCCCAAAATGCCCCCCCCCCCACACAATATATTGCTATAAAAAATTGCTATGCTATGTAAATAATAACAATTTGCTAAACCTTGGCCACAATATCTGGAATTCATATAAATCAATGCATATATTTCTGTTTACATGATTGTGGTTATGGTTGTACTTTATTAATCCCTAATCTATGCCATTACATACAATGAAACAAGAAAAGGTAAAAAAAAAACAGCAATGTAATACAATACACTATTAGACATTATTGTAAAAAATAAATAAAAAGTCCATCCTATGTGTTAGTGAATTTTTAAATATTTTAGGCAGGAAATGGCAGGAAATTCGTTTTAAAATTTTGATTTTTTTTTTTTCTGGGGGGGGAGGGGCCCCAGACCCCCTGGAAGGTTTGGTCCAGCCCAATGTTGACTCCATGGCTACGGCCTTGTTTGCCCAGGTGCCCCGCAGTGGCTGCAAGTATCCACACGAGTGGACGGGCGGAGGATCCGGAGACGACAGAGAGCGCAACCTCTGAATACAGGTGAGGAGTTTGTGTCAAGGCGTTCAGTCACTTCCTGCTCGCTCTTCTATCGCTACTACCGTGGTTACCCTTCCCGTAAACTTCACTCCGACCATATAGGCCCTTAACAAACACTGAGACGTGCAACCGTATATAGAGCACAGCCGCCTGAATTTGAAATCCTGATGTTCAATTTGGGGTGGATTTGATAGAATTCAACGTATAATGGTTACTGTTTCCCGTGACCTTCACTCGTTGATTTCGCAAATCGTCAAGTTATGTATTCAACTAAAATACCCGTGTGAGTGTGAATATAACTCACCAATTATAAGTTGTTGGGGGGAAGTGGTGGCACAGTGGTTCGCACATTGCCCTATGAGCATGGTCACCCGAGTTCGATTCCTGGCCACGGACAACATCACTATCGGGTGATGTCTAAACAATTCCTGGGCATCCACTCCCCTCATCACCTCCTACTGACCGGCATATTGACGTATGGACAAACGAGGCTATTCCCTCGTCCTGCAGTTGGCTGGCAAAAAGGCTGCATACGTCCATTTAAAAATGACATTGCTGTTGTGTTGTTTGGTGCTCGTGCCTTGCACTCCGGCAGCATCTTTGCACCGTTGCCCGATCAGGAAGTGCAGCCGACATGGGCAGGGAAGAAGTACAACGACCTCCACATCGCGCACGTCAAGGCCACGCACAACAAGTGAGACACGCATCCGGCGGTTCCACCACCGCTCGCCTGCCAAACAACGCAGACCCTCCTGGGCGTGCGTTTCACGTTTATTTAGTTTAGCCAGTCGAGAACTCGAGAAACAATGGTAATATTGACTCAAAGCTTTCGTGACTGCAGGAATTCATATTCTTTTTGGTTCTTTCGGTAAAGCCACGTAGATAGAAAAAATAAATATATCACGACGTTTCGTTCGCCACGCAAGCAGTCACGAAAGCTTTAAGTCAAGATCTTACTAATCGGCTTTGTCGGGTGGTGGCCGATTTAACGAACATTTATATCTATGCTGTCTAACCAAAAGAAATTCCTATGGATGATAGTCTTATTTTCAAGTGACCTCGAGTGTGGTGTAGCGTATGTTGGTGCGGTGTGTTGTGTGTGGCGTATGTGTATGATGCATGTGATGTGTTTCAAATTAGTTTTAACCAGGTGAGAACTTCAAGAGACCACGATAGTCTCATAAGCAAGACTGACCTGTGGCATTAATCTGTCAGGTAGAGACCATTGACGTGACTTTACCGAAAGAACCAAGAAGATGAATCCCTGCAGTCACGAAAGCTTTAAATCGAAATTTAGACCATTAATTATGTATTATCCCAATAGAGTAATTTGTCAAATTAGTGTGCTGTATCATGTGTATGTAGTGTATGTGTGGGTATATGTGCAGTAGGTGGCACAATCCATTTCAAACTCAGCAACTCGGGTTTGATTCCCGAACACAGCTAACATTGCTGGTCTTATCAAAACCCGTCCCTGGGGCAACTCGGCCTTAAGTAAATCGCTGTTGTGGTGTGTGATCAGCACACACATACAGATCATGGAGAGCAGTGGCGTGTCTCTGGTGAGGACGTCGTGTGGTACGGAGGGCTTCAAGAACTGCAAGAAAGGGACGACTATTGCGGCGCAGACCGCTGCCATCGCTGCCGCCAACGTAAGGGCAACCGCGCCCACCGCCACGGGTTACACAACGATTCAGAGATGGCTCATGACGGCCATGTCGGTGACACTAAGCTGGCATCGCAGAGATCGCGAGTTCAACAGTTGGAAGCTCGATGGAGGGGATAGCACTGCCAAGTTGGCACTGCCGAAATGCTGGGGTTTAAATCGAGTTCTCCGGTGTAGCGAGTCGATGGCTTCAACTTGCTCACCAGTGCACAAAATACCACCGTTTTTTATCACGGTAAATTTTGGTTTGCACGTGATTTGTTACTAAATTCCAGCTCCACCATTTAAATAGCAAGTTTGAATGTGATGTGACAGTGTCATAGCAGAGAGTGTTGAAAGGTGAAGGTTGTGGAAGGATTACACAGGTCAACACACGTTTTCTGGCATAAGGTATTCCAATGGTTTCAATGTAGTTTTGGGGTGCTGATTCCAAATCTGGCATCAGTTTTTGTCTATCACATCAGGTTTTTGAGATATCAAATATTGCATTTTCAATAAAAACTGCAGAAGAAAAATATTAAATAAATGTGGATATCTACATAAAATATTATAAACACACTATCCTAATCACGTTCCTTCGGAGTGGGCAGGTAGGAACTTGGTTGGACAGCGCATTCGTGCACGACAGACAGACAAATAATCCCTGGTTGGCAGTGTGGAACCTGTTGTTCCTACCTGTATGTATAAAAGATAACTTGACTTTAGGTAGCCAGGCAGACAGCCCCCTTAACTATCGCCCCCCCCCCTCCCTTAGGCCCCTCCCCCCTTAGGCCCCTCCCCTGACCCCCCCTCCCCCATATCTTCAGGCCCCTCCCCCCATATCTTCAAGCCCCTCCCCTGACCCCCCCCCCCCCCTTCCTTAGGCCCCTCCCCTGACCCTCCTCCCTTAGGCACCTCCCCTCTCCGGACCCGGCAGTAGGTCTCCACCAATCAAAGAGCTGTTTGTAAGGTCTCCACCAATCAAAGAGCTGTGTGTATTATATATTTATTTATGCACGACAGACAGACAGTCAGACAGACAGCTAAATAATCCCTGGTAGGCAGTGTGGAACATTGTTCCTCCCTGTAAAATACAGCACCATATTTTAACACTAAAGCAGTCACTGACTCGCAACAACTTGCAATCATAAGTGACAGAGTTAATTTCGGGTAAAATCAATGAAAATGGGGTATGCCGATAGCATGAAAAATTAACCCGTAAAAACAAAGTTTTTCACTATATATGCGTGGCGGCTAGAGTCCTCTCGTCCTCTGGCTTGAGATGGCTGCCACCTATGGGTCAGATGATTGCCTGCCACCATTAAGCAATTGGTAATTAAATATAATTTATTTTTTCCTAAAAAGTGTAACATTTTGGAAAAAAAATTTCACGAAAATAAATTGTCACGCACAACGAGTCTGTGTGCAAAATGTCAGCTCGATTGGATCACGGGAAGTGGGTTAAAAAACGACCGAAAGATTTGTACGGTCGTAAGCGCGCAAGCAAGCAAGTAAACTTAATATACAGGATTTAAAAATGAGATGTGATAGAGCAAATCTGAGATCAGATTTGAATCAGCACCCTGAAATTAGTCTAAAACAGCTGCAAAAGTCCAGGCCAGAATTTGTTTTTTGTTGACCAGTGTTATTCATCTCATGTATTGGCACTGGTAGTACAATTGGAATAAATTGTGGCCTGGCCTGGTGGACGCCCGCCATTACTGGCAGACTTTTGCCGGGTTTTCGAGGAACTCTGCTCGTCTTGTTGTTTGCCCCCCTGCGCAGAAGGTGATGAGGAAGGGCGTGGGCTTCGTGCGAGTGGTGGTGAAAGGCCTGGGACCCGGGCGCCAGGTGAGGGACACTTAACGCCACTCCTTACAGACAATACCAATAAATAATCCACCAATGGATGGAGACCTTTTCCCCCACGCCATGTCAGTCTTGAGGGTTTCTTTTGTTTGTTTTAATCATACTTGGCCACACTGATCAGTGCAAGTTGCCGAAGGCGGGGAATTAGGGGCAGCAATTATTCCGGTCTCACTTGCCCACTGATGTTAGCCAATGCTGAGAATCTAACTCTGGTTGCTGGGTTCGGAGCGCTACCAGCTTGCCACTGCTCCATCCCCATGGAAAATAACACTACTGGCAGAAATAACACCTCCTGCAGCTGCCATTTCCACACCGCAGCTGCTGCCGTGATCCTTACCATGCCTCAACTCCTGACTCAATTGTTACAACATCCCTCTCTCCTCAAGCATCCCAGTTGATCCAAACAATGCACGAAAGTATACTAATAGGGTTTTTCCCCTTTTTTCTGGCAACAAAACTGACACCTTTTGCAAGGAATCATGCTTACATTAACCACAATACTTGCAGTCAAATGCAAACAAAAAACAATACTCTGATAATTTATGCATTGTCTTTGAAACTGATTGGTCCACACCAGAGACAGCTTTTTTTAGAGCCTAGTCTCATATGGTGTTCGACCAGATGACGCCAAAAGGCGTCATCAAAAGGGGAAAAACCCTATTAGTATATTTTGGTACTGGCAAAGGAGGTCCCATGATGTTAATGCACGAAAGGTTTTTTTTTACGTAAAAATTAACTCGGTTTTCTTTTGCTGCAGGCGGCGATCAAGGGTCTGACGATGGGAGGTCTGGAAGTAGTCTCCATCACCGACACCACCCCCATCCCCCATAATGGGTGTCGTCCACGCAAAGCCAGGCGCCTCTGAGGCTGGCAGCCGCCACCACCACCTCTCTGCTCAGCCACCCCTGCCGTACCCCACAACCGCTTGCGAAGACTTTTGTTAGGATGTGCGATGTTCCGGTTGTGCTCTAGCACTAGTTGTCTCGTCACAAGGTGAAGAAGTGAATCTGTCTGGGATTCTCACGGCCGTCAGAGACTTCACGGCTACAGAAGAAGATGTCACCGCGGGGTTCGGCAATAACCGTCGCTCACTCACATACAACACCACACACGGACTCTTCACGCTCTGTAAAGAACGTTCACCACCACTTGAAAGTAAAATACATTTATTATAAGAGATGGAATATCCCAAATGCAATAAAAACCCAAATGTTGTACGAGTGTTTCATGTTTTTAATTGCTCACCAAATCACCTGGAATGCTTCCAATCTCGTCAGATCTCAGAAACCAAGCAGAGCCTGCATAATGCTTAGATTGACTACCCTGCATAAAAAGGGTGTTATATACGCTGCTGCACGCCGATGCTGTCAGCAAGAGGCAATATCCATTGTAATGATAGTGGCTGTACACGGCATTGTATTGTGCAGATAACCCTCCACTTTGTAAGTGAAAGGCTGCTTAATTGTGGTCTAAAAGATATAAAACTCATGAACTCCCCATGTTCTCGCTAAAACCGAGGCCATGTTTTCCAGTCCATTGTGGCAGGTGTCACGAAATTTTCCCAAATCTGCACGCAATCGCGCTAAGGCAATGGAAACCTTGATTCCGTCAAAAATGGAGTTTAAAATGTAAATTTTTTACATCCACACCGTAGGTGCACTGCTTGTACAAATGTTTGCGGTTGATGGAACAAAGCAATAATGCACCCACCAAAGACACACATGGTACCCTCTGTATACACCCACAACGTTATTCCACGTGAAATTTTAAAGAAAAAACACCAATAAAACTTGAAATAATGAATACCTGCACTTGCCCCATTTTCATGTTCACACTGCGAGTCCAATAAAAATTTATTAGAAAAAATAAAACACCGCTCGCATCTGCGGCGTCGATTCCATTTTGATGACTGTACGTAACTCTGTGATTCGTACAGAGTAGGTGACGGCTGCCAAGACCATCGCTCTGTAGCGGGAACATGATACGTCACGACCCCCTCAGGTGATGGAACAATAAGGGTGAGGCCTTGTCGATGAACCAGAGACGGCGGTGACATATCCTACTTGATGCCCGGCCAGATGTCAATTCCAATGGGAATTGACTTTACAACATCCGCTTCCACAGTTTCTTCCATTCGCTTTTATCAGTTTTTTTTGTAACTGCTCCGACATTGTTGCCCGATAAAGGTCCAACCTTGCTGATGGACAAATTCCACCAGCAGCTCGACGCTTCTCCTGAGCTTCTGCGAGACACTTTTGGGCGACGATCAAACCCAATCCTTGAACGTTGAACAATTTCGCGTTTTCAGCTTCCCTTGAAATGTTGCCAGTTTTTGTTCAATTTTATTGTTGATTACCTCCCGGCTCCGGCGCTAGTGCCCGGCCGCGCTGGCGCAGCCCCCGCCGCCACCAGCTCCTTGGTGCACACGTGCCGCATGTGGAAGTTGACAACGTACTCGGCGTTGGTGCGCTGCACCGAGATGGCGAAGGGCTCGGACGGGTGGAAGGTGAACGCCACGAGGCGGCGCGCCGACGGAGGGACGGGGCGTCCCAGCATCCCCGCCTGAATCTTGAACTTGAGCAGGCCGGAGTCGCGAGCGTAAAACCTGGGACGAAAGACAAAACGATAAAAAGCCCATCGCGGGATTTCCCCGTAAGGCTCCCACCGTTACCCAGCAGAGTTGATGCAGCGTCTAGAAGTCGCGGATGCAGATCGGCACTGAAGCGTGACCCTGGGGGCACAAAGCTCCTCACCGTATCGGGTGGTCTCCGCAGGCCTTGGGCCGCTCCATGACCGAGACCCACTTGTCGTCGTAGCTGAAGAGCGACAGGTCGAGGTACGGGCTGCTGCTGTAGGACTGCGCGCTGATGGGCAGTTGAGCCAGCAGCCTCTTCACCGCCTCCGTGTTGCCGCCGTACTTGGCGTTGATGATCGTGTGCTTGAACCTGCCGCACGAGACGCGAGGGTCGCGTGACATCGCCGGGTCGTCGAGGCAGGAGCCTCCCGAGAGGGGCATTGAGATTCGGCAAATGAGCGTGCGGAGCGATTGCTTGCGGGCGAATTTGTTCAAAGGTGCATTAACTTGTGGGGAGTGTTTAAGCGTTTCAGAATCGCATTCATGTGGTGTTATGGTTTGTACTGTAACGTTCTTCTCATCTTATCTAAACGAAATTGACAACGGCACAACATATGAATGTAATGGTGGAGATGAAATGAATAAAATAGATAAAGTGCTTGATGTTCTAAAAGATGGAGGTCATAAGAATTAGACGTCACTGTGTTGAAATACCCTGCCATGGGTTTGGCCTCAGTCACAATTATGGGTTAAAACTAGTTTAATTATCAACTTAATGTTTCCTCACGTTTTCCAATGCTATCTCAAATGTGCGATTGGTGCCATCGCAAGATGAAGAATCCATTCGGATCTCTGGCAGAGGAGCAGCAACCCTTTGTGTTATAGAATGGCCCGCAGATGCGGATACCACAGAGCTACCTCTGAGATCCTATCAAGGGATCTCTGGTCCACATTCTAGGGGGTGGGCACTTTCCACTTTCCCATCCCTCCTGCCCATGAAAATAACGTTTGTCACACGACAATCAAACCAATATATTTTTTGTCAGAGCTGGAATTCAGCCAAATTAAGTGCAAAACCAATTTGAAAGTGAAGACTTTTTTTCATGCAGTCATCGTGACCGGGCTGAGACCATCAACTTGAGAACCTTATTTAACCTCATGCAGCTGAAACCTCGAATCAAACCAAGACTTCTGACCCACCTGCCTAGGACTTAACGATATTTTACAAACAGGACAATGTGATTATCATGGACCTTATATTGTAGGATACATCGCTGCATTGAGGAACCAACATGTGTGCAGTGTTATTTAGTTCGCATGTTTCAATTTAGTTAAGGGTCTGGTTTCTGACAACCTGTGGAATTCAAGTTGGGTTACAACAGTGTGTGACATCACCTAATAGTCTACCTGACTAAGGCAGGCACACATTGAGTCAAACAGTCTTCATTATCAAAAGTTTGGCGTGAACGGCATGCAATCTTTCCCAAGCCAATATTATTGGGCCAGCCGATCAATTATATATTATTGGCCGGCCAGTCGGTAAAACTCGCGATAAATCAAGACAGCCAATTACCTCTGTCGGTCTTCCTCAGTGCACTGCATTCTCTAACCGCGTTACTAAATCATTTTGTGTGCGTCTTTATTCATTCCAAGTCATCGTCGCGCTCCGCTCGTTGTTCACGGTCATCGTTGATGATAACGCAACACCCGACGCTCGAGTGAAGCGAGTGAACGCTGCGAAAGGGTCATCGCACCTGCGCTGGATCTGCCGCGCGTGGTTGTTGCTGGAGGCGGAGCAGGGGAACTGCGCGGCGTCGCTGTGCAGAGTTGCGTTGCGGAAGAGGTCGCAGAAGTTCTCGAACAAATCCAGGAGCTCCTCGGATGTGTTCTCAAACACCGCCAGCACCTCGGTGCTCACCATATTGTACACCACGAAGAACGACGGCTGCTGTCCCCGGTGCGAGGGTGGAGTGCGAGAGCGTGTGTGTGCGTGTGCGCGTGTGAGAGTGTACGGGGAGAGGCAGGTTAGGTTGCCCATCCCGGTGGGCCATGCGTGGCGTGGTAAGCGAAGTGTGGGTGGATAGAGGGCGTAGGTCATAATCTCAGACTGCGATCTTTGAAACACACCGCTTTCCCTGAACTAGAACTGTTAAATTTCGATTTAAAGCTTTCGTGACTGCAGGGATTCATCTTCTTGGTTCTTTCGGTAAAGTCACGTAGAAGGGAAGTAATAAAATAATAAAAATAAAAATAAAACATAATAAAACAATTCTCACGAGAATTATTTTATGTTTTATTTTTATTATTTTATTACTTCCCTTCTACGTGACTTTACCGAAAGAACCAAGAAGATAGAACTGTTAACCCTAGACCCACCCCTACACATACCCAGACCTCTTATCCTTAAACTAGCCCCCACACTAACCTGACCCGTAACACGAGCTCTAACCCTACCTCTTAACACTCGCACTGGCCTGACCCTTAACCCTAAAGTTAGCCTACCCCTAACCCTGACACTACCATCATCTTTATCTAAAATTCTATGTCTAACCCTAACACTTAACGCTGACCCCTAACCCTCAACAAATCCCGAACCCACAGCCCTGGCCACACAACCTCTCAACACCCGGCGCTAACCCGACCTCTAGCTCCAACCCGTCCCTCCGCACCTGCGAGGGGTCGGTGACCTTGAGCGTGACGACGTCCTCCCCGGCGTACTTCACCAGCAGGTGGCTCTCGTCCAGCAGCTGCATCTTCCACATGCGCAGGGCGCGCAGCTGGTCGAAGCGCTGGAAGAAGCGGCGCCGCGCCGTCGCGTCGCCCTCCCTCTCGGCGCGCCGCCACAGGTGCACGAGCAGACGGTGCTTCAGCGAGTTGATGGTGGGCTCGCAGAACGCGCGCAGGCCGCCCACTTAAGGGGAGGGGGCGGCGGTGGGTGGGGGTAGGGGGTTGGGGGTAACGGCACAGGCGCCAGCGTGGATTTAATCGGACCGATGGTTTTAGGGTCGTCGCGGCGTCGTACGCGTGGGGTCGTGCGTTGTGCGAGCATCGGGTTTGCACGAAGCCGTTTGAGAATCACGCGCTCACGTGGGTTGACCCGTAGGATGACGGCGGAAAACGAAGGAGGCAGAACGAATGAGATGGCGCAGACCAGGCGAACGGTACAGACAGGACAGGGCAGACAACGGACAATCGAGGTAACGAGGCAGGACGGTCGACCAACAGCACAGACGGAACACACGGTGCAAATGATGCTTTGAGAAACAGATGATACGATCGATTATCGTGGATCTTATATCGTACAATGTGTCGTAGTTTTGCAGAAAAGACAGACCGGCAGAGACGCTGATATAGACAGATAGGCCTCGAGGCATACAGGCAGGCAGAGATACAGAGAGACAGACAGAAAGGCCACCAGAGAGACACGATAATCGTGGGTATGATATCATAGGATAAGCCGTAGTGTCATCGCGAGCTCACCGGCTGCGCCGTTTGCGTTGCCGCTGCCCCCCGGGTGGGTGCACGGATACACAGCGCCCAGGGTCAAGAGGTCATCCTCGTAGCAGAAGCGGCCGATGGAGCGGACGTCGATGAACGTCCCCTCGCTCGTCACCTGAGCACAGGGGCCGGAAAAGAGATG